CGATATTGGAATATATTATTTCTGAAAAAATAAAGGTTTCAAGTATAACTCTTCTGACCGTTGCATCAACATTCTTTGAGGTTATATTATTGTGTATTTTTTAACCGAATCACCTTTAGATTTGTAGAAAACTTGTGTACAGCTGATTGCTATTTTTCGCTTAGTTTGCAAAAAGATACACTTGTTAATCGTAAACAGGAAATTAAATTTATATGGTAAATCATCATGTCTACTGATATTTAATCTCAAATTTCACATTTTTATTAACCAATTGATATTGTTATCACCTCAATTCCCTGAAGGGATATGATGTAGTTTTTAACCATGCACTTGGTCACCCCTGCAAGTCATGTATACACTAATCAGCAACAAAAACACTTGTCAGTCTGGCTGCACCTCTTTATCTCATATTCTTTGTTATGAAATGCGGTCTCAGGTTGTGAAAATAACCGGTTGGCAAATTTTAAAATGTCCGGTTAGCACTTTTTTCAAATCAGACATTTTGCAGTCACAACTGGACAAGTCCAGCACACAGACCGGTTTCCTGATCCCTGGTTAAAAGGCTTCTACATTTTCTGAATATTTACATTCACTTTCTTTTGCTTTAGGTTGAAGTTGTATAAGTTCAGTGACTTGGAAAGAAATAGGACAGCATTTGTAATTATTGCAAAAGATTGATGCTGATAACAATAGCTGGACCCATTATTTCACAATATTCCAGATTGCCTTCATTGGCAATACCATATATTATTGCACTCTTATACATGAAAATATGTAACATACCACACCCTTTGTAATATTACAGTATATCTCATTGGTTGCCACTTTATATTCCCCAGCTGATAACTGACCACATTATCACTTGATTTGAAACACTTGTTTACATTGTGTGTAAGTTATCAGAACCATATGTTTGAAGCTCTAAGGTTGCCACTGACCTTCTGGCATGGTTTGGATGACCAGCTTGGGTTACCTCTGTTGTTTCCCATCACATACATCTAAAACATAAAGACATTGATCAAACGATAGGAAATTGGAAAATAACCCTTTAGGGGTGATGAGGACTAATGATACAGGACCAGTGTGCTGTTAAGTATTATTGCACTGTAGGTAATTCCTTAAGGGAAGTTAACCCTTCAGAACTTGTACCTTCTGATGCCAATTTTTCTGATCCAGGGTAAAAAATCCATGGATTAATTTGGAACTAAAGGCTGCAGTGTTTTCTTTGCAGACCAAGAGTTAATATGATGGTATAAATAGTTGCTAGTGGGTTTAGCCTATCAATGATTTACCTTCTGTGTGATGTAAACCAAAGCATTTGACGTAGTCCATACCCAGATCTCCAGGCAAAAATAAATTTGCATGTGTTTGTAAGATAAACATGAAAATGATTATACAGAAAAATCACACGTTGATGTTTATTGATATTTTCTCAGCTTTCATGAAAATGATAATGGGGGTATTGTTATTGAGATCGTATCTGACGTTATAGTGCATAAGCATTTCGATTACATTATTAATGTCAGTGCTAATGCTTTCTAGCTGATGTGGAATTCCCAAATGTTTGCCTACTTGATAAAGAGCATTGATATAGCATTGTCCAAGATCTATTCTTCATTTCCCTCACTCATTACTCACAGTTTAATGTTAATGAAACCCATGCCAAATCAAAAACTTTATTCCACCTTGTTCAAGAATCCATCCATATTCCATCCATATTAAATGTGTGCAATTGGCCATGATAGACTCTAGGATTTATCAAGGATTGTATAATGAATGCACATGGTTGGCAAATTAGGGGAATAAAAACCTCTTTTTTTAAATCTGCATAAATAGTCTGCATTCAGAGTATTTAGTTTTCTATAAAATAGGTGCTTTTAGAATCTAAATATTTTAATCTAACTGTCCAATTGAGAAAAGAAGGGGTTACTAGATGCTCTTATGGACTATGTTCAATCAGCTACCACTCCAAATTCACTCTTTACAAATGTGGCGTAAAGGCAAATCTCAACAGTTTTGCTTTCAAGTTTGATTGAAAGTGATAAACTGTTTTATTGCTTTAACCACTTATAGATGAAACATTCATCCACAGGAGCATCATAATCTCTTAGTGTGCTAACTTTCCGGCGAATGAGCACAGCACATTTACTTGTTTCCCTAAATTTCTAGGGCACAGCAGTACCGTATTCCATACAGCAGTGCTCTCATTAAATTTTGTTTGAAGCAATAAGCAACCTGTTGTAGAACGGAAATGTTTTCTTTTTTGTTTGATATCTAACGTTGCATCTTTGACTATTTGGATTGAAGTGAATGATTCTCGTCTGCACTGCTTCATTTTTAGCAGACTCACGAAGGTCCGGGATAGAATAGGTCTTCTGCAACCCATGCTTGCCGTAAAAGGCGACTAACGGGATCGGGTGGCCAGGCTTGCTGACTTGGTTGATGCATGTCATTGTGTCCCAATTGTGTGGATAAATGCTCATGATGTCAATCACTGGATTGTCTGGTCCAGACTGTTATTTACAGACTGTCGTCATATAACTGGAATATTGCATAGTGTGGTGTTAAACAACAAATAATCATCTTTAGCAAACAAAAAAACCATAAAGTATGTCATTAAACTTGTTAAAGTGATCCAACTCACAACATTGTGAGTTATGCAGTGAACAACAAACCATGCAAGTTGACTTCTTTATGATTAACAAACCATCTTGCTTACAACATCACGTAGCTACAGTTAGTATGCAATAAGACTGTCTCCGTGGCACTTTGGGATAAGATGATTAAGGACTGGTCAGCTCGGCTTGGAAGTCAGTGGTTTGATCCCTGGTCGAGTCATACTATTAGGCATGAAAAGATGGTACTTGTTGTTAATCTCTCAGCATTAAGGGGCTAAAACAAGAACATGTTGACTTGAGTCAGTATGCTGTGTCTGATTGGGGTATTCAGTGGGCTAACATTATAAAACCTGCATTATTCCTGTCTAAGAACAAGCAGTCACACACACACAGACACACTTCACCATATACCGGTAAGTGCAATAATCTTGAATGCAACATTAAACCCCATTTCACCTCACCTCATATGCAGTAATACAACAGTTGTTGTTTTTAACTTTTTATGAGTATTTAGGAATAATGTTATAGATAAACAGGGGAAGAGGTCTCATTTTAATTAGTCCAGCCTGGACCTATTCAATTTATCACTGACTCTGGCTATCAGTCATTTCCATATTCTAGATTCCAGTGTTGTCAAGATCTTCTCCAGTATCCATCTCATTCAAGATGTGGGACACTGAGATTGGCAATTGTGTTTGTTGTGATAAAAACTGTTGGGAGGTCATGACCTTTTCATCCTTCCTTGACTGAAGATTTGAATCTCTGAAGTTCAGTATATACTTATCTTCAATATCACAAGTTTATCATGAACTTTTGGCATAGATAAAGATTCTGTGTTCTAGATTGCCTTGTTGTCACACATTTCGTCTGGCATTATATGGAAGATTCCAGATGAGATTTGATCCCTAGGAAGCTCTGCATGTGGTAGGAGATCACTTCATGGATCAGGTGTTCATGCTGTGTAGATTGTTGGTCATAATATTAGTTATAGTTTTCCAGTCTGCTGTCATATAAGTAGAATATTGCAAACTGGAACGTTGAAAAACAAACAAACAAACATTAGTCGTCGTTGAATATCCAGAAATATTACACACAAGGGATGGATAAATTGTGCAATAACTTTTCAATATTTGCACATGTGGGTTTGTGCGGTGACAACACAACAATTGAGTATGATCAAATGTTTATTATATACAATACTTGGCATAAGATTCGGGGGCTGACTCAGTGTTGGAAAGGTAACTTACGCTGCTGGTAAGTAATATAAAAAGGCAGCCCTGCGGGTTGCATAAGTAAATTTTAAATATATATGAAAATGACTTAGAACCCTGCGAGTAGATCTAAAAAGATAAAATGAAAATATGTAGAAAGGGTGATACCCTGCGGGTATGAGTGAAAATGAAAATACTTTGGGGGCCGCCAAATTAACATTTCTTTTTGCAATTCTCAATGTTGATTGGTTTGTTGAGTCATAGTGCTTCATTATTGATTAAAATATGATATGACATCATCCATTGTTCATGATGTCACAAAACCACTCGTGAATGAAGCCAAGGCTAATGACTTCCACCATTCTTTCACCATGGGAAGCTCATTTCTGGTTCCCCCGCCATGATATTGCTGGAATATTGCGTAAAGCAGCGTAAAACCATACTCACTCACTCACACTCACTCACTCACTCACTCACTCACTCACTTGGGAAAGATCTGTAATCCCTCGTAGCTGATCACCTCCGTGGTCTAGTGGTAGAGTGCCCACCTGGAGTGAGGAAAGTCTGGGGTTTCATCCCCAGCCACATCATACTATAAGACGTTAAAAGATGGTACTTGTTGTTACCCTGTCTGGTGCTCGGCATTAAGGGGCTAAAACAAGGACTGGTCGGCTCGGAGTCAGTATACTGTGTCTGAGTGAGGTATTCATGTTAAACTGCAGCATGGTATCTCAGTGAGCCAGCACTATAAATCGGCATCAGTCCGGACTAGTACAAGCAGCCACACAGACACACACACTTACATGCACTTCCTTATATAAGTGCAATAATCTTAAAAGCAACGTTAAACCCCATTTCACCTCACCTCCTCATAGCTCATTTGTCTGACATAATTTGAAATATTTTTCAAGAACAGTCCTTAGTAAATATTAAAGAAGCTTTGCCACTTGCATCTTGTTTGCTGTCAAAGCAGTAATCAAAGAAAAACATTTGTGTGGCTTGTTGATCATGTTCATAATAGGTTAGTGAGTGAGGGTCTCAAAAGAGGGTTATTCTATTGTTGAGAAACAGTCTTCGTTTGAAAAGTTAAAAAAACCAAAGTTGCTCACTGTATTAAAGATCTTTTTGACATAGTCAATGATATTATATCACAATATGTTTTGTATTTCAGTTTCCATAGTGATAGGTGTTCCTACAATCAAACGTGACAAGGTTACCTACCTCACACAGACATTGCGGTCCCTTGTGAATGAACTGAACCCTGAGGAGAAGGATGACTGCCTCATCATTGTCTTCATAGCAGAGGTGGGTGCAGTGTTTCTACGGTAACTATGTGAATCAGGTGTAACACCGCTTTTAACAGTAAGTCTGTTACGTCATGCTGTGTCGGGGTGGTTAAAGCGTTCACTCGCCACGCCGAAGACCTGGGTTCGCTCCCCAACATTGGTACAATGTGTGAAGCCCATTTCTGGTGTCCCCCGCCGTGATATTGCTGGAATATTGCTAAAAGCGGCGTAAAACCATACTCACTCACTCACTCATGCTGTGTCAGGGCCTCGGGGGCATCACACAGGATGGTCCAGTCATCTAAAGTGCTGTATTTGCTGTGCAGAGTTGCGTCCCTTGAGCATGCCAGAAACCTATGATCGCTGCGTTTCAATTTAAATGTTGTTGCTCTTTCTGTCAAAATTATATATTCAGAGACTAAGCATTTAGTCTACATCCATTGTTTTGTGGGTTTGAATCCCAGATTTGTCTTATTTTGATTCTTGGTTTGTCAGCACCAGTGCTCGTATGTGGAGTGGGGTATTAATTAATGATAGTCGATAAAAAAGCTGTTATGGTTTCTCTTATATTTTATTGTTTGTTTGTTGTTTAACACCGCACTCAGCAATATTCCAGATATATGATGGCGGTCTAACGGGATCGGGTGGTCAGACTAGCTTGTGGGGTAGCCTAGTGGTTAAAGTGTTTGCTCATGGGTACAATGTGTGAAGCCCACTCTCACTCACTCACTCACTCACTCAAAGAATCTTGAGATATAAAAATTGTACATACACTGGATATGGTTGAAGGCAAAAATTCTCTCTCAAGTGTTAGTAAATCTTATGAAGGTGAGCTTCTGTACCTATGGTAATCTGTAAAAAAAACCCGGATGTGTATGTTTTCATGTTGTCTATTTCAGCCTTGGGACACAACATTCGTTGAGAGAGTTGCTGGTGAAATCCGTGAGCAGTAAGTAACAACAAAGGGATTTTTGTGCCCTGCCTCAGGGCAACAGAAAGGGATGAATGAATTACTCAACATTTGTTGCATCACATTACTCTGTGTCATGATACCAGTCACAGTCGGTCATGTATCCATAAAAAAATGATATAAATAATATAACAGTTGCATGTATGATGATATGAACATAAATTGTGAAATATGATTTTCTCTTTGTAACATTCAAACTGTCTAAGCCACAGTTTGATTAATTGAATTGAATCTGATAAATAGGTAAATAAGTTAAACACAACTCTTAGGTATTGATTGAAAATGTAGAACCTTGAGTGAGTCCGAGCCTGAGCTTGAGGTTTTGGATTTTCAACCAATACCGAGGAGGAGTGTTTTTACTGACTAATGAACTATCTAAATACCAGTACCAGAAAGAATAAAAAACCCATTGGCATACCTTATACATGTAGTTAAACAATACAGGAAGTCGAAGTATAAAATGTGATAATATGTGAGGTTGTAGATTCGATTCACAACATGAAATTTTTGTGTAAATAAATTGTGACTTTTTACCAGTCAGAAATTAAAAAAAAGATGCATATTGAAAGGCTCTTTATAAATCTTTGGTGATATGAAACTACTGTTGTGAGAGATTCTTCAAAATGTTGATAAACATGAACGGCAGACAAGATCTAGGAAATCCAGGCACTCCTACTGTAAGGAATGCCTAGAATTTCAAGGATCTTGACTCCCTTCTAGGTTTAATGAAACAAAGGCATAGAAGGAAAAATCAATAGGATGATGTTGCTATATGTTGATATAGATAACTTGCAAGTGATTCCATGATATTCGATTAGCTAACCAAGTAAATTGATTTTGTCTTTGTTTGCATACACCAAAGACCAAAAGAAATTAGGCCACGCCCACTTAGTGATTGCTGATTGGCTGATAATAGAAAGGGCAGGGCTTACGTTGTATTAGCTCAACAAAGTCACTGATTTCAATCTGTTGTCTACAGCTTTTTTGGTTAATGATTAGTAAGAAGTCTGTGAAGTTATTTTTGTTGCCATATCTATTCATAAGAATTGACTTTTATATAGTTTTAAGTTTAATCCTTCATTAATGCAAAAAATATTGAAGTCAATTCTTAAATAACCGTCACAAAAAGTTTGAGAAAATGGTGACTTTGGAGCCACAGGTCATGAATTTTGAACTGAACCTTTTATCTAACATATTTGAGGACATAGTCCATAAGTACAGTACTTTGATAGTAGGGCCGTTACAATTCACTCGCGTATTCAGTGAATCAAACCGTATCCATTCATGAATTGAATTTGTTATTTCGTGGCCACAAGAATCGAATATTTATGAATATGCAATCATGTGCATTTACATACCCTGTACCTAAAACATCCATAAGAACATATTATATGATATGCATTGATTTCTTTAAAGACAACACTCTTATAATATTTAATTTGACAGGAATTTGTTCACTGGTCATTGTAGCATTTGAGCAGATACCAAGACTAAGTACCTGGACAAGTGCAGCATATAAATGTATAATATAGAAAATTAACAAACCATGTCAAAAAATTTATGTTGTTAATGTTTCACTGAATATAACAAATAATACATCAACTGCTGACTTATTATTGTATTCGTGCATTAATATTCGTATTCATTACCCTATATTCGTGATACGAATCGTATTCGCCTCATAGTGTATTTGTTGCAGCCCTATTGGATAGGTCATAAATTGTGTATGGATCAACTTGGTCTCATCGCTATACGACTAAAAAAATGCCGATGCGACGTTAAATTTAATTTCACTCACTCACTCACTCACTCACTCACTCACTCACTCACTCACTCACTCACTCACTGGATAAGGCATAGGAACATCTATGGAACATTTGTCACATTTTTACTTATTGATTCTTGATAATAAACCCTGCAACTAAAACACAGCAAGTAAACAGCGACAAATTCATCCTCAGCTAAGTATGTATTCAGAGAATTATCTTGACCTGCTCACAGGCTGATAATCAACCCCAAGTCTGCAGCAAATAATTGCAAAAATTCCCAGTTTGAATTAAAATTTCCCAATTCCTCAGAAATTACAAAAATAAGGACATTAACATAAATAAACTTTGAACTTTGTCCCAATTTGCTTGCCGAGGGCACAAAGTTTCAAATCCTAGATAAATCCCTGATATAAAATATACTCTGTATAAAGATCATGTGACTTTTCTGAGAGGTACATCCAGCAAATAATGTTGAATATTCATTTAGAATTTCATACTGATGTCATAATAAAACTTGGAAGATTAAGAATTTATAAGATTCAACTGAACTATTGTTTAAGGTGTGTTTACTGTAATGTCTAAAGTTTCCTGCAGGTGATTTATTTCCAAGAATGTTCGAAGTAAAGAAGTGGATCTAAATATCGTATATCTTAACACTGTAATATATTATATATATATATCCAAGATCCTTTTAATTTATGGAAATCGCAATATAATCTGGATCATTATTCATGTATTAACTTTTTGAAGAATTCCAAAGATGTTTTGAAATAGATCACTGATACATGTTGCTTGAAATCGAAGAATTATTTTACTTGGGCTTACCTACCTTGAATAAGGGTTGTATTTTCAGTAACGGCTGGTTTGAATCAGGCTTGTCTTTCTCTTTTTTCATTATGTTGTTGTCATTTTTGTTTCCAGATTTCCAGAATATCTAGACAGTGGTTTGTTGGAAGTCATTGCGCCACCTTCAGGGTTCTACCCAGATCTGGATCACTTAAAAGAAACATTTGGTGATTCCAAAGAAAGAATCAGGTGATGACATCATTGTATATAACATATGAATATTACAGACAAACCGACAACTAGATTCTAATTATGGGGGGGGCACGGGTGGCCCAGTCGTCTAAGGCGTCGCGATTTGCTGTGCAGAGTTGCATCCCTTGGGCACGCCAGAAACCTATGATTGTGGGTTTGAATCCCGGTTCGCCCCGATTATGTTTCTAGGTTTGTCAGCACCATACCCGTGCTCGTGGGTTTCACCGAAGAGGTAAACGTTCGAGACCTGCATCACTTTGGGCTTTCCTCCCACATTAAGCTGACACGCCGCGATATAACTGGAATACTGTTAAAAGCGGCGTTAAACCCCACTCACTCACTCACTCTAATTATGGGATTCTTCAGAAGAAAGTTAGATTTGTTGATAACAATGGCTTGAGAATATTGGAACCCTGTGAAGATCCTGGTTAGAGTTGGTGTTCATCAACCCATGCTTGTTGTAAGAGAATCAGGTTGTTAATCTCACCGATGTTTGATGTTATTGATGTCAGTACTGGATTGTATGTTCCAGAGGCAACAGTGCTTGTTGTAAGAGGTGACTAAGGGGATTGGGTAGTCAGGTTAGCTGACTCAGTTAATGCATGTCATCGTATCCCAATTGCGTAGATCGATGCTCATCATATCATTCACTGGATTGCATGGTCCAGACTTGATAATTTACAGACTACTGGAATATTGCAGAGTGCAGCATTAAACAACAAACAAACAATTTAATGTATGAGTAACCACAGCAGCTTCGCAATCTTTCATCATTAATGTAATTACTACCCCAGCCATACGAGCACTGGTGCTGACAAACCAAGAATCAAAATGAACAAATCTGGGATTTAAACACTCAAACTGTGGACGTAGACAAATGCTCAGTCTAGTTCTAGTTATAGTAGTTCTTGTTCTAATAAGATAGGTAAGAAAGTCCATATATCTATATTAAAATTCTACTGAAACTGATGCACAGGTGGCCCGTGAAGATCCAGGGTAGAATAGGTCTTCAGCAACCCATGCTTGTTGTAAAAGGCGACTACGCGTGCCGTAAGAGGCGACTAAGATGATCGGGACCAGTACATATGTTTCCCAAACAATGCATTAATGTAAACGACCCATGAAGATCCGGGGTAGAATAGGTCTTCAGCAACCCAAACTTGCCGTAAAAGGCAACTATGCTTGTCGTAAGAGGCGACTAACGGGATTGGGGGGTCTGGCTCGCTGACTTGGTTGAAGCATGTCATCGATCCCAATTGCTTGGATTGATGGTCATGTTGTCAATCACTGGATTGTTTGGTCCAGACTCGATTATTTACAGTCTGCTGTCATATAGCTGGAATATTGCTGAGTGCTGCAATAAACAAACAAACAAACAAACTGATAAGGTCCTACAAGCATTGCCCTGGTAGGAGCGTTCTAGGAATATCCCATTGTGTGAAAAACTTGATTCATAGTGACTGTCTTGATGTTTTACAGATGGAGAACAAAGCAGAACCTGGACTACTCCTTCCTGATGCTGTATGCCCGAAGCAGGGGAGTCTACTATGTGCAGGTATGTCATAGGATCTTCACTAGCTGCAAACACACTCAACAGGTGCCCTTTCTGGTGCTAAGTGTGATAATCCAATGTCCTTGGAACACTGTCACTGACATTCAGTGTCTTGAACTGCTCGCTTAATATTGTCTACTGCTTCAAATATCTGGCAATGTGTAGCGTGAATGTTTTGTCAGTTGACCTAAAAAATACATACTCACCAATTTTTTTGTACCAGTTTCCAACCTGCAGTTATTATTTGAGAATTGGGAAACAAACTCATCTCCAACTTCCAAATTAAAACTTCCTCAGTAAAAAAGTATGACATGAAGGATTAAATACAAATCCCTTAATAGAGAGTTAAAACAAACTGAGAATTGGGAATGGATATCTTCTTTGTAAGGTGATGCTTTAGAAGATGTCATTAATCAGGCTTAGATATTCATGCTTTTAAAAAGAGTTTTGCTTACCAATGCACATTCTGGTAGGATAACAATGGAAGAGTGTTATTAGTGGATGGATGATAAATGCATAGGCCACAGTAAGAGGGAATAGGGATGGGCAGTTGGCAGAAAAGCAAGCTTGATTCAAGTACTCCAATACCCATTTGTTTGTATGCAAACCACAGTTTTATTGTTGTTTTTATTATGGATATCAATTTATTAGTTAATGATTACCTTAATACAAATTACCATGCTTTCCTACAAACACAAATTCACATGGTCCTGTGCACAGCACACAAGTTCAAAATTAGGTGAGGTTAAGCAACATTGATCACAAACTGTTCTTGGATGGGTGTGGGGCGGTCGGGTAGCCTAGTGGTTAAAGCGTTCGCTCGTCACGCCAAAGATCTGGGTTCGATTCCCGACATGGGTACAATGTGTGAAGCCCATTTCTGGTGTCCCCCGCCGTGATATTGCTGGAATATTGCTAAAAGCGGCGTAAAACAATACTCACTCACTCACTCTTGGAAGGGTGACCATGTTCGGCAGCTTGACTTCTGAGAGATTCTAGCGCTTTGGTCTTACCCCACATTATGATTTAATATTTTAAGCACAAGAAATTGAAATCATAATGCGAGGGCAGGTCAAAAAGTTCTAAGCCTAACAAACCAAACCAACTATTGTGAAAGTGTTTATAATTATTTTTTTTCAACATAATCTCCCTACTTCTCACATCGATAGTGAAGCTTTTCAATTCCAGTCAGGAAGAAGTATTCTGAAGCCACCCTGAAAAAAACCCATTCTAGGCAGCTTTGAGGTCATCATTGTCGTCATGCACTTCCCCCGAAGGTGTTTATTCAGTTTAGGAAACAGGTGGAAATCACTTGGTGCAAGGTCTGGCGAGTATGGATGGTTAGGAACCTCATCGAACCCACATTGTTGCAAAGCAGCCTTTGCAAGTAGAGAGGTGTGAGAAGAGGTATTGTCATGAAGTAGTAGAACGACAGCAGTCGCCATTCCTTGCCGCTTTTCTTTGATGGAATCTCTCAGGCGATGAAGCATAGTAGGCACTGGTAATGGTCTTTTGATTTTCTTTGATTTGCATCCCAAAATACAGTGGCCACAAAAAATTCTTCACTGATCTTGATTTTCTTTGGTGCTGGAGAAGGAGAATGGTGCCATTCCATGGATTAACGTTTAGACTCGGTAGCGTAGTGGTAGACATATGTTTCATCACCCGTTACTAATTTTCTTTTTGAATTTGATGATATCCTCCTCAATTAGCTCTAAATTTTCTCTGGTAATTTCAGTTCTTTTTTCCTCAAGTTCAGAATTGAGAAACTTCGGCTCACAACGAGCTGATATCTTATTCATGTTCATGAAGAGTAGTTTCAATGGATCCATGGTTTAGACCTGTTCATCAATGGTAATATGTCTATCTGACAGTAGAAGTTTTTCTATCTCTTTGATGGAATCTTCATTGATGGAAGTTGAGGGACGTCCAGATCTAGGGTCATCATCAAGGCTTGTTCACATAGCTGCCCAACGTTTGACAGTGGAATAGCTCGGGCACATATCACCATACACTTGTGACATTCGGTCATGAATTTCTCGGGGAGTACTTTTCTCTGACATCAAAAACTTGATCACTGCTTGGTACTTGTTCTTTTCTATTTCATCTCCATTTGGACCCCTATCACAGTCAACTGGCTGTCACTAATATACAAACGGCCTCAACAGACCCAACACACTTGCAAGGAACTACTCAAACGATGTACTACATTGACTAGTTCACTTTGTTATGGCCCATGGTTGAAAGTTAGTCAGGCTTAGAACTTGTTGACCAGCCCTCTCATCTGATGCTTTGTGTTGTTGGCTGCTGAATACGCCCTTCTCTACCAGATGGGAAAACTTGTCACAAGATGTTACCATGGTTAAAATACTACATTTTGAATGGTTAGCATGTTTTTCCTACAAACAACCCAGTATGTAAACAATATTCAGACTGACAAGTTTGTTTTTAATTTTCACCTCCCCAAGCAAATAAATTAAAAGATGATCATAGAATTGACCCTCCATGTCCTGTGTCATGTGATGTCTTGGATGTCTTTGTTGTTTTTGGTAGCATGTTGCTTGTTGTTTTCCAGTCGCATGGGACTATGAAGCAGAATTATGGGTAATTCGTAATTATGGGGGCTTCAGTCAGTGATAGCAACCCTCACTTAAATCATGTTTTTACTTTTCAAATCATGATACTACTAACCCACTCACATTTATGCTACTCATAATATTTTCACTTCTGTTAATTATTGCCTTAACTAATTTCGTATTGTCAATAGTGTTGTAATTTCAGTGCTCTTGACTTTTTTCAGCTTAACTGGTTCTAATAATTTGTATGTTAAAACATTTTCTTTTAGCTGTTTAGTATTTTTGTTTTGTTTTGTTCAAAACAAAAACAAATATCAAAGTACATGGTTCTTTTAATGGTGTTTATTTATTTGTCATGATGTCAGGTGATGATTTAAAATGTATAGTTTTGTTAGTTTGTCCCAAGTATTTGTTTTGAGTGACCTAATAGTTTGCTGTTTGTTTCTATTTCTAATTTGGGTAGCCTTGTGGTTAAAGCATTCGCTCATGAAGGCTCGGGTTTGATTCCCCACATGGGTACAAAGTGTGAAGCCATTTCTTGTGTCCTTTTGCTGTGATATTGCTGGAATGTTGCTAAAAGCAGCATTAAACCATACACACTTACTCACTCACTCTAATTCTAATGACATGTATTTTTCAGTAAGACTACAGTATCTAACTTCTAACTAGCCATGATTTTGTTCATATAGTTTGAGTTAGCAAATTTGCTTCCAATGATCTTTCCTGTTGTGTCTGCTTCTGTTACATATTTGTTTTCAGACAGATCACAATAAATGATTGGGTGCATGTTCTTCATTCCTAGCTCAAGATGCCTCCTCATATAAATATTTTTTTCTTTTTGTTTGCAAGGAATATTTTTTACATATTGAACAAATATTGTTGCAGAACGATATCCCTATAAAGCACCTCAGGAGTTAAAAAAACTATTGAAGAGCTAATTTAAGTGTTATTCTGTGTTATACAACCCATGAAGATACGGGCAAGAATCGGTCTTCAGAAACTCATATTTGTCATAAGAGGCAACTAACAGGATTAGGTTGTCAGATTCGCTGTCTTGGTTGATACATGTCATTGTATCCCAGTTGCATGGATCAATGCTAATGATGTGAGTCACTGCATTGTCTGGTCCAGATTCGATTATTTACAAACAACCATCATATAATTGGAATATTGCTGAGTGTGGTGTTAAACAACACACAAACAAACAGTGTTATATATTATCATACTGAATATTTCAAACACAAGTGTGCATTGAACACAAGTTTCTGAAGAAACAAACAAAAAACCTCTTACTGTAACTGTATCTTAGAGTGTTTGCTATCCCATTGCCACATCATTCCAAAAGACATTGTTGGCATGAGGGATATGGTATGTTAAACAGCGGCATGGTATCACAGTGGGCTGGTATGATTAAACCGGTATATGTCCGGACTACTACGAACACATTTCACCTCACCTCTCCTCACATTTTACATCCAACAATCAGTAATGTAAGTTTGTGTGTTTTTTGTGCTCCATTATGTTGTAATGTAAATATATATAACAGACATGGTGCACTCCAGCTTTTGTGTTTGCTATTATGATAACATGATTTTTTGTTGTTAGGATATTGTCTACTGGGTAATTGGAATTTTGAAATGAATATGTAACTTTTGACTAATACTTGTAATATAGACAAAGCAAGTTTATTTTTCATAGATTCAACTTGTAGACAACATTTGTGGATAATTTGTCTAGTTTGCTTGTTTATATTCCTACCCAAAGATCAGTACCGGTACACAAAATGTTAACATTTTAAGACTTTTTATAGTACAGTAAAATACATAGGTATATTTTCAACTCTGTTAAAGAGATACATATTAGATACATATTAGTATTCACTGGTTGTATCGGGTGGTCAGGCTCGTTGACTTGGTTAATGCTTGTCATCGATCCCAATTGCATGGATCGATGCTCATTATGTCAATCACTGGGTTGTCTGGTCCTGACTTGATTATTTACAGACCGCTGTCATATAGCTGGAATATTGCAGAGTGCAGCGTTAAACAAACAAAAAAACACTGTTGCAACAAAAATGTCAATGTCCATTTGTCCTGAGATGATATTAAAAGTAATATGTTTCGGAACTTTCTTTCAGCTGGAGGATGATGTTATGGCAAAACCGGGGTACCTGTCAATTATGAAGTCATTTGCATATCAGCAGAAAACAGATGACTGGCTACTTTTAGAGTTCTCTGCCCTTGGATTCATTGGTAGGTGTTCGAAAATCAAAACAACAGGTGTAACTATTAATACATTCATATAGTTAAAATCTAGCCTTTGCATTTTAGATGGTATCATACATACATTTTGAAAATTATTTTTAAATATTGCATATATTGTTGTGTTGTTCCATTGAAACTGTTAGTTTTATGGGAGTAGCTTATAATCAGCTTCTGCGCTTATTGCATTCACTATTCCACCTGTAGGTACCGGGGTCCTCAGGAAGTCTTGTCCAAATTAGAGAATAATCATGCAAATGTTTACCTGGGCATTGATTTCATTGGTTAGATGTGGGAAGAGGGATTAAATGAGTATTCATGTCATACAAAGTTTACGACATGGAACATGAACACTGAACACAAACATAATGTTCTATATATTACCAAAGAAGATGTCTACATACAGAGACAAATTTTAGTGTTTATACAGCAAGTCGCAACAGCAGCAGAACCACTATTTGCCAAATGATGTCAACAATCTTCAGCTATGAAGTCGTTTCTAGTGTGACGTCATTCTGACCTCATGTCACAATAAGATTTGAATGACGTCAACAATGCCGTCCGGATGATGGAAACAATACACTGTTGTCTCGTGACATGATATGACCCTAGGGCACATATGATTTTTATGAACCCCGATAAGTTTGCCCTCATAGGTAATAAACAAAGTTATTTGTGGATTGTAATATTTATATTGACCTTATTCCTGTGAAACAATGTTAAATATCACAAGAAATACTGTTGTTTGTAGTTTGTCATATTATTGTTAACCTTCATTCCTTTCAAATATCAAGACCGCCTCCGTGGTCTAATGGTAGAGCGTCCGCCCGGAGAGCGGAAGGTCCGGGGTTCGATCCCCAGCCGCGTCATACCAAAAGACGTTAAAAGATGGTACTTGTTGTTGCCCTGTCTGGCGCTCGGCATTAAGGGGCTAAAACAAGGACTGGTCGGCTCGGAGTCAGTATACTGTGTCTGAGTGGGGTATTCATGTTAAACTGCAGCATGGTATCTCAGCGTGCTAGCACTATAAATCGGCATCAGTCCGGATTAGTACAAGCAGCCACACACACACACACACACATACATACACGTGAATGCACATCACTATATAAGTGCAATAATCTCAGGCACAACGTTAAACCAATGCATTTCACCTCACCTCACCTTTCAAACATCAATGTAAACTGTACCAAGTTGTAACCACTGCTGCAACTTCGGCCTTAAAGCATGTCACAGTTAAGAGTGAATATTTACATGAGCCTTGTTCAACAAATATTAACATAGGCAAATGTGGAATATTGAAAACAATCATAAGCATGATAACAGAGCTCTGTTGTTGTTTTTTAGGGAAAATGTTCAAGTCAGCTGACATCCCACTGGTGGTTGAGTTCTTTCTGATGTTCTATGCTGAGAAGCCCATTGACTGGCTTCTAGACCACCTTCTACAGGTCAAAGTGTGCAGCCCTGAAAAGGATCATGTGAGTTCCCTCGGGAGAAGAACCTAGTCTTTTCAATTCTAAGGTTTCAAACGTAGATTAGATACCTGTAAATTTCATTCAAAACGGAACAGGACAAGTATGGCATAGAGAAGCACCAAAATTCAAGCCATGGTGATGTTACTGAATTTTACAATACACTCAGTATTTGTTAGTCAAGTGTTCCGCCTGAAATGTATTGTGACACTTGTTAAAATAATATATGACCAGCACCATGTTATTAAGCAAAGTTAAAGAAGTAAGAACCCAATTTACTATTGTCAAACAGGTGGCTTTGCAAAAGAAATGCTTCTGAATAAATATATACTTTTGCAGTAATGCAGTCATCAACAGGATCATGGTCTAACCTAGATTCTGGGTGACCTATCAGAATGTAGGATTCTAAAATGTTATGGAAGAAATACCAACAACTCCACAGGGTTACATCACAAATGGACATGTTCAACAAACCTATGCACAGCTATTGCGTAAATCTCTCAAACAGACTAAATATCCCGTGTCTCTTGTGGTTTGCCAAGTCTAGATTTTTTCATTAGTATCTGAAAATAATGAGATTCTCTCAGCTTCTTTTATACTACTCCACTTTTGAAAGGTTTTTTTTATATTTCCATCATACACAAAACAGATTCTCATAATATGTTAGGGGGCATATGTGGCCAAGTCATCTCAGGCACTGCAATGTGCTTGGCAGAGTTGTGTCCCTTGGGCCTACTAGAAACTTATGATTGTGGGTTCGTATCCCTGTTTGCCCTGATTATTTTTCTAGGTTTGTCAGCACCATACCAATGCTCATGGGTTTTTAACCAAAGTGGTAAACATCTCAGACTTGCATCACTTCAGGCTTTCCTTATACATTAAGCTCACATACTGTGGTACAAATGTCGTACTGTTTAAAGCGTCATTAAACCCAACTCACTTACTCATTATAATATTATGTCAAGTGTATAGTTAAATAAATGAAGTACCTGATTATCCCTATACAAAGCTGATCAGTATAATAATATATATCATAAGATAAATTAGCAAAAACATTTCTAAATATTTCATTTCAGAGAGTAAATATTAATCTTCTATCGCATATTTTTGTTAATATGTAGGAGTTTAATACTTTAAGCTCAAGCCTTGCTTGTGAAACAGGACGAGTAAGAGAATGTTGATTAATTCTGCAGTTAACAATAGTCCAGCTATATCATGGTGGCCTGTGAGGTTTGAGCCGGAAAGAATCCCGGTTCGCCCCGATTATGTTTCTAGGTTTGTCAGCACCATACCCGTGCTCGTGGGTTTCACCAAAGTGGTAAACCTCTGAGACCTGCATCACTTTGGGCTTTCCTCCCACATTAAGCTGACACGCCGTGATATAACTGGAATACTGTTAAAAGCGGCGTTAAACCCAACTCACTCACTCATTGAGCCGGACAAACAGAGTAGAAGAATATCCTTTGTGCCACTTCACAAAAAGATAAATAATTGCCAGCAGACATTCTGGAATCAGTTAATTTGTATGAATGTCCAAACTACTTTCTTTTTTACCTAACGGATAAAAACATTGCCTGTCAAAATAGTCAAATGAATAATGAAAAGTATAAGTTTTCTCAAATGTAAATATGTCTTAGCAGTTATCACAAAAAGAATGCACTGATCCATGTCTTTTTTTCCCTCAGAAACACTGTAACAGAATGAAGCTTCAAGTGAGACGTAGATTCAAACCGTCTCTATTCCAGCATGTGGGTCTCACTTCATCTCTCAAGGGAAAGGTGCAGAAACTGAAGGTAATGTATTTAAGACTGGAGCCTCCATGAGGATTCTGGGTTAGAATAGGTCACCGACAAAATAGGCTTGTTGTAAGAGGTGACAGAATGGATCAGGTGATCAGATTTGTTTGGTTTTTTTGTTTGTGGTTTAATGCCGCACTCAATAATGATCCAGCTATATGACGGTGGTCTATAAAAGTCTACTCTCGACCAGACAGTTCAGTGATTGACATTATGACCATCGATCCAAGCAATTGGGATATGATGAAATGCATCAACCAAGGCAGGGAGCCATACCACCCAATCTTGTTAGTCGACTCGTACAACAAGCATGGGTTGCTGAAGACCTATTCTAACCTGGAGACTTGGTTGACTGCATGTCATCGTACCCCAACAGCAAGGGACATTGCTGATAACATCGGTCATTTGTTTGTCTGGTCCAGACTCGGTTCTTTACAGGCCACAGTGATACAGCTGGAATATTTGCTTAATGCTGTGTGAAAACAAACAAACAATTCTGTGTCTCCTTCTACCAAGTGACCACATCGTGGTCTAGTGGTAGAACGTCCGCCCAGAGAGCAGAAGGTCCGGGGTTTGATCCCGGCTGCATCATTCCAAATGATATTAAAAGAAGGTACTTGTTGTTACCTCACCCTCTACCAAGTGATCTTAGTGCTCCATCTGTCTACCCTTGTTAAGAATATGTGAGTTGTGACAATTTTAAGGAGATTAGGTCCCAAGTACCTTATGTTAAGGTTAACATTAGCTTACCGTACTCGACGTAATAAGCGCCCCGCTCTAATAAGCGCCCACGCTGATATTTGCTAATATATTGGCTAGTGAACAATCCCAATTAGCACCCCTTCCGACTGATCAATGTACACATGACTTATTTATTCGCTTATAATACGCACTCGTCTGTTATATGCACCCTTAATTATGGGCAATATAATTCTGGAAACATATATCTGTCGTATATAAACATTTCAGGCTGTCAGCATAAACCACGAAATTTTCGATCTTTCAACTGTTTTTTTTCCACCAAAATAATATTCTAATAAGAGCCCCCTATTTCTAATTTTGAGAGCGCCCTGGTTGCTTATTAGGTCGAATACGGTATATGTATGGCTGTGGTGACATGATACATATATCGAAAGACTTAAGTTATGTTATAAACACTACAATTATAAGCACTTAACACTTTTCATTTGAGGGTGATAACACAGACACACATATGGAACCAAATGTATTTGATGACAGTGTGTACATGTTCATTAACTAATGGAGAGCACTGTGTGGTTTACATTGCAGGACAAGGACTTTGGCAAGCAAGGTTTGTACCGTGCCCATGTGAATCCTGCTGCCACCCTTGGTTCCTCCCTGAAGACCTACCAGAAGTATACCCTTGTGAAGGCCTACATTGGGGAAACCTTTTACTGGGCCACAAGTCCCTCAGAAGGCGATGTCATAGATGTCAAGCTCAATCCTCCAATCCTGCTTGAAAAGTGAGTCATTGGTGTTGAATGATGATTCTACCATGAATTTGGAAATGGCTCAATTCTGATTGGTCAATCAGAGGCTATAAATCACAATAAAGCCCCTCTGATTAAAACAGCTGGTTTGATGGCCACATCACCACAGAAGCTAATATTTATAGAATACTACTTTTATCAGTCATTGTCGGAAGGCATAATTAAGTAATTATGTCTACAATTACAGGTTACAAAATGCAAAGTTGCAGTTTCTACAATATTCAAAGGATGTGTGGCAATACATTTCCTGCAGAAAACACGATAGAAATCTACGAAGAGAATGTATTTAAGTTTTGGGGACAACAGAGAGCTTGGAATTTGGCGCTTTTCTATATATGACTCTGACATCATATCTTTTGTGTCACAATAAGCGAGATGACGTCATAATGGTGACATGCAGTGTAAAACGAAAGCTTTGCAAAGCTTGTTTACTTTCCTTGAGGGGTGCCCACCTCATGTTATCTTGCCAAGTTGCTGTGCTTATATGCTTCCAATGCCTGTCATATAATCAAGTGAAGTATTACGCTGTAAACAAACTGCTTGAGCAGATACAGGTTGTTGTCAGTGATTCAGTAATTCAGATTGACAACCCACTCAAAACACTGGACTCACCCATGCTGCTGCACTCAATATATCTGCTAATACCAAAGAGGGGCGGTCGGGTAGTCTAGTGGTTAAAGCGTTCACTCGTCACGCCCAAGACCTGGGTTCGATTCCAGACATGGGTACAATGTGTGAAGCCAATTTCTGGTGTCCCCCGCCGTGATATTGCTGGAATATTGCTAAAAGCGGCGTAAAACCATACTCACTCACTCACTTATACCAAAGAGTTCGCGTTTTATTTAGTCATGCTAGAATGGAGATAAAAACTCTGCGAGTTCGGTTCCAAACTCAATTAGCGCGGTTTAATCTACAGGTGACATAGCTCTACATTGAAAACACAGTATGATTATTTCCTAAATAGTACTCATTACATTTGTCACTCAAGATGACTAGTTCAGTATCCGCTTACTACAAATAGCCTGCAAGGTGGCAGTGTTTCAGTTTCAAACAGTGACTGACAATGTAAACACAACCGAATGTTGGGAGAAACTTTTTGAAATCCAATCAAAACTACTCTGTTTATCATTTATCATAATTTGGAGTGAGTGAGTGAGTATGGTTTTACGCTGCTTTTAGCAATATTCCAGCAATATCACGGCGGGGGGACACCAGAAATGGGCTTCACACATTGTACCCATGTCGGGAATCAAACCGGGTCTTCGGCGTGACGAGCGAACGCTTTAACCACTAGACTACCCGACCGCCCTCATAATTTGGAAACAAACAGAGAATGAGATGTGAAGCATATGTTTGTCGCCATTTTGCCAGACAATTTGTTAATGTTTTTCTAGGTTCTCTCATCACATACTGAAGAATTCATTGTTAATATACATTAAACAGCACTGTTCTGAGGTAAGGAACTTGAACTGCCAGTATGACAGAAATCGGTCAGAGATCATTAGGGATCATATGTATAATTGTTGCAGGATACATATAATTATGGAAGGGAATGTATGGATGTCAACTTCTGATCACCTGATGAAGGTGTAAGCATGTACTCCGAAACGTTGTGTTCCTCATAATAAAGAAGTTGACATCCATAAATCTCTTCCTTATGCGCATTACTTCTAAATGCCTTTCAAAGACTTGCTGCATAGAAATTGATAAAATGTCGTTGACCAATAAAATTTAAGTATTTTACATATAAGGTGATAGAGGCGATATGGCTGTAGAATATCGTTCAGAACAACTTAAAATCACTGTCTCCTCATTGCAGGTTTCTCTTCCGAACCGGTAACACTGACCACACTGATGACCGGGTTTACGATGGCACAATTGAAGTTCTTCCAGAAACTCCACCAGATGAAACAGTTCACCTGCCAAAGCTGGACTTTGCACCAGGGGAAAAGCAAACCAAAGAGGAAGGTTACTACATACTTGGCGTTTTTGATGACCAAGGTATATGTGAGGGAGATGTCCCAGAAGATCTCGGAAAGATAGCAGTATTACGTATTCACTTCCAGTCGGACAGTAATCATTGGCTTGTTATTAGTGAGGTGAGAAGTTTTCTGTGCAAACAGATTTGCATAATTAATTATATTAATAATATTAATAGCATGGAACATATGTGTAAGAAAGCATAATAATTTCTCATTTTTCGTGTGCACTTTTTGGTGAAAAATGATAAAAATCATGATCATTTAAATATTTCCCTAAATTTCCAACATGCAGCAACATCCCATGTATGAAGTCATACAGTACTATAATAAGACATAGAAAGGTTACACTGCAGGTATGTGATAGTTTAAGGAACGTTGCAGTGCTACTCTCAGTCACTTTTGATGTTAGCAAGACATGTCATAACATGGGACCAGATTCACTTTTTGCATCATATATTACACCATATATTACTTCATCGCTTCATACTGGAGATAGATTGACTTAAAACATGTAGTAAATTACTCCCAATACACGGCAGTTTGAGTTAAGCAGTGAACACAGCTTTTCAGCAGACATCCTTTATCATAAGGGGCATTCAGGTAGCCTAGTGGTTAAAGAGTTTGCTGGTTACATCGAAGACCCGGATTCGATTCCCGACATGGGTACAATGTGTGAAGCCCATTTCCGTGATATTGCTGGAATATTGCTAAAAGCAGCGTAAAACCGTACTCACTCACTCATCCTTAATCATAAACTGGTGTAGGTGGGTAGGAGTATCTTGTATCATTAGGTATGAATTTAGATGCATCAATACATCGTTGAATCATCACATCGCTAATTCTCATTTTCCACTCCAAATGTTTTCTTTTTCAGATTCATGTGAAGGAGAGGAAGCAAATATAAAGTTCATAAAGTGGATCTGAAAGATGTGTAACCAGTCGCCAACATTGCTGTAGATCTACACCATCAAATCACTTATAACAACCAATGGGAAGCACCTATGACCCATTCTTAGGGAAACAGCCATAGTATTAGTGCATTTCTATTCAAGTGTGATAATCTTGTTGTTTTTCAGTTTGGCAACAGTAAGTCAATACCATGCCAAACATTGCACGAAACCAGAGAACTTAACCAGTTGTGTGATATGTGCATTTGCAGCTTGCCTGTTTCCATGGTTACCTTTCTGAGTGGCATGTAGATATACACATTGTGCACATTGCAGAGATGTTAGGAATAAAATATGTTTCTAGGTTGAACAATTTTGGAAATTCTAAGAAAAAGGTTAGCTTCACCGTAACATGAATACATGACTCTTTTTATGGATAGCGATATAAGTTGTAGTAGGATCACGAGAGGTACATTGGGTTTTATGCATACCGTGTTAGGTTTTAAACAATGAGCCAGAGGCGAGTGGTATAAAACCCATGTACCACGAGTGATCCTGCTGCAACGAATTTATCTTACCGTCAAGTTTTAATATGATGTAAAAGAATTTAAATAAATTCCAAATTGATAGAAAACAGCTGCTAGATTGAGCTGAGGTTAGCTTGCGCTATGTCACACGACATCCATTGGCTCGGAAAAAGTGTGCGGCTTTTTACTTTGAAGCGAGGTATAAAGGATTTATTCTGTCTCTCAGAAATGCATGTGGTGGTGTATAAGAGATTTATTCCCCCGCTGAGAAATTTATTACCCTCCAAGGTCACGTTGATCAATTAGATCTCATCTTTCTGACATGGAGGTATGATAACTTCTTTTATTCTATGTATGACATTTCAGAGCTACTTCATCAGGTGATGAAGGAGCAAGAAGTAGCTCTGAAACATCGTACACAGAATAAAAGAAGTTGCCATCCGTAAAAAGTGTCATGTGTTCATGTTCTCCCAACTTCTAAATGACTATCGAAGACTTCCATATATATCATGTATAATGTATATCATTGAACCTTTTCATGACAGAGAAAAAGAGAAATGGCACAGGCAGTTGCTAATGTTTCTTTTTTTGATACAAAAGACAAGTGCTGGTAATATTGCAAAACAACAATGTATTAAAGTTGTTATAACATTTACTACTGATTTGAAAACACGCGTGTATATATGCTATTCAAAAGAAAATGAGAAAATTTGCTTTCCAGTTTTCATGTCAGAGTTTGAGCGCGACTTTCGAGGATGTCAGGAAGGCTGAGATTAGGGCTGGGACATGTCCAAATTTACTACCCGGGTACCCACCCCCTATTACCCGACCCTACATGGGTCTCAAGAAATGGGTACAAACTGTCTGATGGAAAAGTTTGACATTAGCCATGGCAAAATGTATTTAGATACACATTTAAAACAATCTGGTCATACATACACAGTCAAAAAGAAATGCAAACATTAGTGACTTGTAATGTAAACATAGAGTCATTAAACAATATATCCCGTGACTAACCACAGGTCCGGGTAGTCCTGTGGGTACCCGGGTCCTTCTCAGTACCCACCCGACCCGACCCGACCCGACCCGACCCGTCCCAGCCCTAGTTGAGATGACAATGTATGACTAACATTATGTGCCAGTTAATTAGGGGTGTGACTGCACAGCTTTACAGAATCTAGTCACTATCAATGCTTACTTTTACATTAGTTGTATCATAAGACAAATGATATACATATGTATATATGTAGCAGCCATAAAATATCTGAGTCCCATTATGGGATTCGAACTATGGACCTTCTGATCAGAGGTCGGATGCCTTGTCCACATGACCAAAGAGGTTAACCCTGTCAGCAGGCTGACAAGGTAAGGATATCATCTTGTTGGATGACTCCACGTCCTGCTACATATATATATATATATATATATATATATATATATACATACATATATATAAATCTCAATGTGGGCATTGTGCAAATCTCAAATATTTATTTCTTGTGTATCACAAATGTATAATTTCACAACATTTGAGATCAAATAATTATCTTTTATGATACTTTCATTGTAATTTGTATTGTATGAAGACATCTGTATAGCAGTATGCAGCATATCACACCCCTGTGTAGAAAACACAAAGCTGTAACATTGTGGTCTATTGTCCCTTTCTAACATTGTTGCTAGATGGCCTGTCTTAGAGAATAATTACCAGCATGTTCAGTGAGGACCACTCAACTAGAAACATTGTTCCTGAACATCAAGATCAGTTCACATGAACGATTATCTGTGTTGTATGGTTGCAGGTTGGCCTGTATTCATGGCATTACTGAACATGCCAGCCTTTTTGAGAGTGATATGTACTCCAGTAGGACATTGGGCTGTTTCTTGGATATCACATCAGTTCCAAGGAAAGATTATATGGTGATGGACGTGATAGGTCAAGTTTCATGGTGCTTTTGTTGAAGTCATTTGTCCTGTTTTTACTTTGTACATAATTTGTTTTGTGTTGTTAGAGAGTTGAAATTACAGAGCGTATTATAACACTATTTAATCAGAAAGTGTGTAAAAACATCACTGAAACAGTACATGTGCCATATAACATGTATGTATTCCTGTCTTTAGGAAAATGATTTGTTATATATTTTTAGAGATTTTCTTTAGTTTTACCCCCCAAAATGTTTTGATGAAATTCAAGGTTTTAAGTTGCCAGATTCCATTTTATTTATGGTTAAATTAATCCATGAAAATAATTCTGACATTTTTGTTAGATATACTTTTATTAATAATTGTGTGCTTGATGTTTTAGTTCAGATAGGATAGATTTTTACACTGAGGCCAAAGTCAAATGTGTTCAGTCAATTAAGTCAGATTTTTATGCCTGTTTCCTATTGAAATTGTTGTTATCTAGTTCACCTCAATCTAGTCAGTTTGAATGAAATAGTATCAATTTACTATGTCTTTTGTTGGAATATGATGTGCAATGGAAAATGAAAATGAACGTTGAAAGTTTTCACATCCACTTCAGTTTGTTTGAGGACACTGTCCCTTTTGGCATCCATACACAACCTGGGTCGGAGAAAACAGTTCCACAAACGATCTTGGAGCTACAACTGTCATGACACTCTTTTAGCTGATGGGGTAGCTAAGGGGTTAAAAGTGTGGCTTTAATTGTTACGCCACTTAGGTTTGTTTCCCCACATGGATACATTGTGTTAAGCTGCCATGCGTTAGCTGAAATACTGTATAAAGCCCACTCACTTACTCATACTTCAGTACAGAGTGAGATATCTGTAGCTGTAAGATTGTGGACCAAGACTCAGTGCCCCATTCAACAAAGCAATCTTGGTACTACTACTGTTTTCTAACATAGATTTAGGATGGTCATAGTCCTAAGATTGTTTTGCAGAACAAGACCGAGGTCAATTAAAGGTTGTGGTTGACTTTCAGTAACACACTGGTTACTGTGCTTCAATATTGCTATATACAAGACCTGTATGAAAGCCTTTTAGGGCCATTTGTTTTTTTATTGAAGTTTCTATGGTACATATGTTAAAATTTCAAGTTAAAATCTGAAACTTTCAACATATCTTGAAATGCCAAGATCATTATCTTGAAATTTCAACTTAGCATCTTGAATTACAACATAGCGTCTTGAAAAATTCATCTTACATATGTTAAAATCTTAAAATTTCAACTTATCATCTTGAAATTTCACAATCATTATCTTGAAATTTCAACTTAGTATCCTGAAATTTCAACATTGCTAAAAATAGAAGAACAAATGGTCCTTACAGGCTGCCGTAAGACATGTGTCAATTTCAGAAGTTTCAGATCACATGTGTATAATATTTTTATTTTAACCCTGACAAGCAAGCCTTTGTAGGTGATATTAACCTCACGCCTGTGGCGAAGTCAACAGCAGGCATAACCTCACACCTATGTCAAAGTCAACAGCAGGTATAACCTCACACCTAAGCTGAAGTCAACAGCAGGCATAACCTCACACCTAGGTCGAAGTCAACAGCAGGCATAACCTCACACCTAGGTCGAAGTCAACAGCAGTCATAACCTCACACCTAGGTCGAAGTCAACAGCAGGCATAACCTCACACCTAGGTCGAAGTCAACAGCAGTCATAACCTCACACCTAGGTCGAAGTCAACAGCAGTCATAACCTCACACCTAGGTCGAAGTCAACAGCAGGCATAACCTCACACCTAGGTCGAAGTCATCAGCAGTCATAACCTCACACCTAGGTCGAAGTCAACAGCAGGCATAACCTCACACCTAGGTCGAAGTCAACAGCAGTCATAACCTCCCCTAGGTTGAAGTCAACAGCAGTCATAACCTCACACCTAGGTCGAAGTCAACAGCAGTCTAGTCTTCATTTCTTATTTACTGTGTTATGATGAGGGATTCAAGGACACCTCCATGTGTCCCTATAATGAAAGGATTGTATAGTATTGAACTTACAGAAGATATGATGTTATGATGAGAGAGACTTGCCATTTTTAATAGATTGTTAAGTGAAAGAGAAATCAAAAATGGTTTCGTGTGAATGAAATATCATTTTAATCATCTATGCACGATGGGAACTAGCATTTTATACACATTGTTAAAGAAGTGGAACCAGATGGATTAGTTCCAAAATAGATATATTTTTAGAATGTGATGACTTATAGTGTATTAATCATGTTTATACATTTCTTATATTATATGTGTCCTTAGTTTAATTATAAAAGACTGATGATTCATTGTCATGTGTAAATATACTTAAGTGTTGTTTTTGTGCATGTTGTGTTGTAAATAATAACAATGTGTTAACAGTACAGTAGAACCTTGGTAATCAGGATGCTTTGGGTTACAGGGGAGAGAACTTCCCCCTGAATCCAATACAAGGCACAAGTGTTGACTAAAGAAGCCGTACTCAGGTCTGCAGGATGTGTGGTTCCTAAGCACATGACACAAGGCATGCTGTCCTGAAAAAGTCTCCAGTTTGTTGCAGACAGCTTTCCTTAAACACTGCTTGACTCCAATTGTTTGTTGCTCGTCACGCCGAGGACCCGGGTTCGATTCCCGAAATGGGTACAATGTGTGAAGCCCATTTCTGGTGTCCTCCGCCGTGATATTGCTGGAATATTGCTAAAAGCGGCGTAAAACCAAACTCACTCACTCACCAATTGTTTGTTAGGCTAAAAAAAAATAGTCTTGATTCACAGACACAATGGGGGGGCAGTGGTGAAAATGTCAATGAGTGTACATGGGAAACCACCGTTGAATATGAAGTCTCGGTTGTAGCCATCAACTGCTTCATTGCGAACAGAGATGTGGGAATTGATTGTCACACTATCAACCACCGGTTTCTCTGTTCCTGAAATGACTCTGATATGGCCAGTCATCATGCCCAAGATCCAGACTAACGAGGATCCACAGTACTTTAACAACATGACATGAATTCCTCCACAATTCACAAATGTTTTAAGTGCAGTTAGTAGTAAGTTAGCTCTGTTTTCACGGTGAGTGTTGTTTTATGTTGAACATATGTTTTGGGATAACTATTGGCCAGTTGTCCTGACCTAGTGCCAAACAGGTGCTTGATGTTGGTTGTCTTGTTATGGAATACATGGAAGTCAGATGCAGTCCTTTAACTGGTCTTTGTTGACAAACCATTAACATTTTCTTATGTGTTCTCAGATGTATTTGTATTTCATTTAAAGGAGAAATAGAATTTGCATAAAAGATATCATTTTGAATTTTTTGGAGACTATTTTCAAATTTCTTGGAGGATTTATGGTATTGATGATTAATTTATTTAAGGCACAGATATGTTCTTTTATCTTCAGTTGTTTGATATATGTATGAAGGTGATATCAGTTTCCCTTGTGCAATGATAAAAAAAAGGGGAAAAGAAGAGTAGTTTTACTCTCCTTTGTTTCTTGTTACTCTCAGATATGTTATTTCAGAAAGAACGATATTATTTCATCTCATAATCAAAAGTGCACTGGTGTGAATTGTCGTTATGGTAGTTGATTTAGAATTTGGAATCAGTATTTATGTAAATCTGTGAAGATGATACATCGAATTGGTAAGAAAACGCCACTGTATATATGGTGTGTTACTTTCTCCTCACCTTCAACACCGTCTCTTTATGTACATAATTTCTTTGCACTCCGCAGACCAATACACTTCTTTCTAACAATGAGTAGTGCCAATGAAAAATATTTAGAGTATAACTTATGCACAAGGAGGAACTACGGATTATCAGTCCCAAGTAAATTACAGTCATGTCCCGTTAATCCGACATGGTTGGTTGCATATGATTATGTCGGATTAACAAGTATGTTGGAAAAACGAATTTAAGTAGTATCAATGTTCGTGGTCGAAAATCGGATAACTACATGATAGTTACAAACACGTCATAAAAAAATGAAAAATGAAATATTCAAATTGTTATGTTACATTGTTAGCTGAATATGTTTTCTAATCATGCAACATCTAAAGCTTAACACAAAATAACTGTTATTGACTGTGTGACTTATTCAAAATACTTTAAAAAGCATAGTCTGGAATGGAAGTCGCAGATGACCACGGAGTATGCTGATCACTGTGTCGGATTAACGAGACTGATTAATGAGTGATTTCGGTAATTTGTTGCAAATTAGGGGTGTCGGAGATTACTTACACTGATTTAATCGGTTTCTATCATTTGTGTCGGATAAAGCAGATTGTCGGATTCACGAGTGTCAGATTAACGAGACTTGACTGTAATTTTGTTTGACAACTTTCAACACTAATTCTGGAGGGACAGATACTTCCTCATTGCTTGTAAGTTATTCTATGTTTTATCCATATTCCTTCTTCTGTGAAAGTATAGAAAAATATGGGTTTCCTGATCTCAAAATTGAGACATCAGCTCAGTAACTCCGTTGTTGGAACATCACATAAAATTGTCATGAACAATGAATGATTTTATGATTAATTATATGGGTCAGTCCATTATGATCCTCTTCATAAACGTTTATATCTCCATAAACACAAAATACATTGAAGTCAATTCTTATTAACAAATATGTCCACAATAATACCTTCAGAGAGTTCCTAATTAAATCATTAACACACAAAAATTGAAATAGGTGGCATTATTCAGCGCAATAATGCAGTGCAATAATGCAACACAATAATGCAACACAAGCCCTACCCAGTTTATTATCAGGATATATTAATTTTACCTTATCTTTCAGAGTGATATATTGATAGAAAATGCCAATTCAGTAACCAATCAGAAATGAGTATCTAAATGCAAGGTATGATCAAATTATTGACACCACTAGGGTGTGTTATAACATCCAATGTTTCAGCAGGTTTTTCTTGGTAACTACCCTGTATATGCATGTGCAGAGGTTAGACATTTGGATTTAGATGAAAGAGGAGTAAGCCTTATTCCAGGGTTTCCCAACACGGTGTTTGTTGCTTACATCTCATGCTTTGAAATCCATACTACTTCAAAATGCCTCTCAAAGACGTTTTGAGAGGATGCTAATGTGTACAGAGCAACTGTAGTAATGATAGAGACTTCTGTATTCCTTCAATATGATGTTTGGTGCAGTTGCTAAATGATAATGAAAGTATGTCCTGAATATTATAAGATTGTCCATTTGATAAAGAGATTATTACCCACCCTCATTTCTTAAATATCTGAAATTAGGAATATAAGTATTATACTTGCCATAGGTTTGTTTATATTATTTTTCTTCATGATATGTGATATTTGTGATATTAAATTCACAGCAACTACTGTCCTACTGTCAGCAATCAAATGACACGTAGTTTATTCGCTTAATCGCTGGGGGGAGGCACTAAAACCATTCACAATCAAGATGGTTTGATTGGAGAGAGTAGTGAAAAACCTTCTTTCAAATGTCAGTAATACTAAAGCTTTTAAATAATAGTTACTTGGCAATTGTATACCCGTTCTGCGCTGCTGTTTTCTGTAAGCAAATATGCAGTATGCACAAGCAAATAGGAACTAATGTAAATTTCCGCCCTTAGTAGGGGTGCTTACACATGGTTCGTACAGGCTTGAAAAGGCCTTGATCTTTAGTGTCAGCCTTGAAAATTGCCAAAATAGTTTGAAAAGCCTTGAATTTGTACAAAATACATACTTGTTTTTAAAGTATAAAAATATATGAATTATTTTATTTTATTTGGTTTTGAATGTTTATTTGTGATGTTGTTACTGCTTAGGTCTTATATTGAAAGACTAAGGCTAATAACCCAAATAAGAAAGCCTTGAAAATGACAGTTGAAAAGGCCTTGAATTTTAGTGTCTCATATCTGTATGAACCTTGTTATAAACATTACTTACGAAATTGTCTGGAAGTTGGTCCGGGGGTACTTAATGGAGCAGGCAGCTTAATACAATACAACATTGACTGTAGTTTATGTGCTTTGTGGACATTCTGTATAAAATGTTTTGATAGCCTGTGGTGTGGGACAGTGTCAAACATGTATGGATAAGTTATTGCAGAGCAAGGCATTCCTAATTGGTCATTGCTCAAATACATGTTCACATTGTGGAGAATGGTTCAAATTACTTGTGATCTGTAAAACACTTGAAACACGCACAGCATATGCAGGTGTGATGACAAGGTATGATTAGGGCCCTTTTTGGCCCCCAGTATGTGCATGATTTGGGAAAAGCCCAACAATTTAGAAATTGTTATGAAAGTTATCAGATGTCTTCACATTAATGAGAACTAGCATTTGTTTATTTCACCACATGCATGTTTTTGACTTGCATTCAGGACAAACATGGCAAGAAAATAAAGACCTTTGGGTCATGGACTTGCTCATTGTAAGATGTTCTCTTAGAAGTTGAAAACATGGTCATTTTGGGGCTGCTTTAGCCAGTTTTGTGCACTTGAAAATGCCAGAAGTAAAAAAGATGTATATGTAAAAAAAGAAATAAGGCAAGTTGTCAACCCTTGTTACAAAGTTTCCCACAACACTTACATTTGACATTTTAATTGGGTGAAAAGGTGTAACATTTTATCCAATGACAGTTGGTACAGGTAGAAAATCCAAAATAAATGCCATAGAACATTTGACACTGTCCCTTGGATGTAGAGCAGGTGCTTGTCTTCCAGTGTTATCAAGTGGTGTGTGTGTTTATTTTGGTGTAGGCAGAATGCAGTTTACTTCCTTGTGTGACGTGTTCTTGTGTGTTAATGATTGCAAGTCAAAATAGTATTAATTAGGTGTCTAAATGGACATTAGTTATATCTTATCTGAAAAGACTATTGAACTTTCTCTTTGATTTGTGCAGGGAAATTGTTATGTAGTTGTAAAGAAAGCTTAAAGAAGATTTTGAACCTGACCACTTCTTTTAAAACACCTTTCTGTGGAAAAGAGGACCATCATCAGGTGCCCAGTTTCGGTCCATTAAATTAACAAGTACAAATATTAAATGTCAATGCAAGATAATAACCAGTCTCAATTATCCACCAAAACAGATTCCATTGGGCATAAAAGGCAAAATAGATAGGATTTAAAAACTTCAAAATAAATAAAATAATGTTTTTTTAATTACTGTATTCGATGTAATAAGCGCCCAGGGCACTCTCAACATTAGAAATAGGAGCTCTTATTAGAATATAATTTTGGTGAAAGAGTTGAAAGATCGTAAATTGAGTGGTTTATGCTGACAGCCTGAAATGATACAAAAGAAAAGTCTGTGCATATTATACACGACAGACATATTTCCATAATTTAATTGCCCATAATTCAGGGTGCATATAACACACAAGTGCGTATTATACACGAATAAATAAGTCTTGTGTACATTGATCAATTTTAAGGGGTGCTAATTGGGATTATTCACTAGCCAATATATTAGCAAATATTGCCATGGGCGCTTATTACGTCAAATACGGTACTTGAATGAAATGAGCTGAGACTGCCAGTTTCACAGGGACAAAATTTTGTGTTTGACGGTGATGTCGGATACTAACTAATAAGTGTATGCGAGTGGAGTGCTCATTCCCTGTGCCTGATACGGGCTATGCCATCATGTAACTGACAAAACACTAGATGTTCCATATTTGCCGTAATAAGCATCACTTAGAAAGTATAGAAAGGAGGTGCTTACTTAAGCCATACACAAGTTAAATGTGTTTCTGGAGATCAAGCTTTAGAGAACAAACCTAATACTAATACACTTTTGATAATAGTTACAAGGCAATTATATATCTTCCACACTGCAGTGTATTATGTAAATAAAATCTGTAATATACATAAGAACATACTAAATTTTAGAGATAAGTATGGAGTTCTTGTAAGAATTGCTTACAGAATTGGTCAGAGGGGGGCTTTTTGGATCAAGGTGCTTAATACGGCGAGGGGCGGTCAGGTAGCCTAGTGGTTAAAGCGCTCGCTCTTCACGCCAAAGACCCGGGTTTGATTCCCGACATGGGTACAATGTGTGAAGCCCATTTCTGGTGTCCCCTGCCGTGATATTGCTGGAATATTGCTAAAAGCGGCGTAAAAACCATACTCACTCACTCACTCACTTAATATGGCGAATACAGTATTTGTTGTAGTTCATGTAGAAACTGCCAAAACACAAGATGTATTAGTTGTATCCAGTTTCTACCTGTTAGCATTGTGAGACATCTTGCCATGGTAAAGGAATACTGGGACTGTGCTGGTCAGTAAGTGTAGATATACATGATCAGGGCACCAACCCAATTCTCATCAGTCCCACAAGGGTGTATTTCCAACCAGGTCAATCAAATGGTATGTTGATGGTATTGAACTCTGATCCTGTTTCTTGAATATGTGCACAGCATTGTGTTTGTTTCTAATATGTAAACAAAGATAAATTGTATGTAAACGATATTAGTAGAAATGTATGTTTCACGATATAGGGTTGATGCAGAAGATGCATTTGACAACATGTAAATCTAGGTGTTCTAGCTCCTAAACATATAATTGTTTAGCCAGTGTGCATGTACAATACAAACTTAAAACTAGATTTGTATTGAGAAAGAACGAGAGCAGATATTTCAGAAATAAAAACTTCATAGTATCCATCGTGTACGAGTTCTTTGTTATTCCGGTTGTAAATTATTCTACTGATGTTTAAATCCCATAGGGATTCAGTGGTAAAATTGGTGCCAAGTTACACTATTCTTGTCATAAGTGTTGACACAAATGGATTGGGTGCTCAGTTTCTGTGACCACCGGGCACGGGTGGCCCAGTCGTCTAAGGCGCCGTCATTCGCTGTGCAGAGTTGCGGCCCTTGGGCACGCCAGAAACCTATGATTGTGGGTTCGAATCCCGGTTCACCCCAATTATGTTTCTAGGTTTGTCAGCACTATACCTGTGCTCATGGGTTTCACCGAAGTGGTAAATGTCTGAGACCTGCATCACTTTCGAGCTTTCCTCCCACATTAAGCTGACACACCGCGATATGACTGGAATACTGTTAAAAGCGGGGGCACGCTTTGGTAGTGACAGTCTAGCTTCCGGATTCTCTGACCTTGAGGCACATGTCCCCTTTCACATGGAACATTTAATCAAAGCGACTCAATTAATGCAGTCAAATGTTACGTCTTCAGTCAACCATCTCATTAACAAGGAATTATCGTCTTTCAAGAAAGACAGTGTTAAAAGGTTCTAAGGACTGTGTTGATAGAGCTCAAAGCAAGGAAGCTTACTCAGCAGCGGATTTACAGTTGATGCCGCCTTCACATGCGTCTTTTGAAAAAGCACACTTTACGCAAAGTGTTGATGTGGACCTTCCAAAGTCTTTCCTCGTGGACTGCTTCTCAGATACTGTAAAATCTTGTGTCTGCCTCTTACCAACAGGAATAGGAAGCTTTGACCACTCTAACGTAAAAGATTACTGTCATTCAGGTGCCAGGTCGTCTGTCAGAGATATAGATCACCCTACGCTATATCTTCTTCTAGGGGTTTGGATTATTTTTCTGAGCATGTATCATAGACTATTCTTCAACAATACCCAACTCCAATGCAGATTCCGCATTCACGGGGAATATTGTGGAGCTTTAGTCTCATGCCCTCACTTCGGATACCAACCACGGTTGATTGACCGTCCTAAGTTTGCTAAGTCTATTGCTGTTCATGGGCGGATACAGCTTTTTTGTAAAAGGGGGGGGGGGGGGGGAGAGAGAGAGGTGTGTGTGCACAATTAAGATCTATTTATTGTCTTTGGTGGTAATTTATACAGAAATAAAGATTTTTTTCGAAATAAAGGGGGGGGGGGGGGGGGGGGGGCATCACATGATCTCCTCGGATTGTCCCGGAGAGAGAGGAGTTTAGATTAGACCAGGTGGGATTTGTACACAGCACTTTGTTGGCCATTCTCAGGATGGATGTCTGCCCAACTAGTGTTCACTGAAAGACACCATATTTTCTCTCAGGTTCGGAGTAAGCTTCCAGATTCCTTTATGAAGTTGGTTTTGGCTCAACCTTAGGCGTTGCCGGTATTGTTTAACAACAAACTTTGGTTGGTGATTGACGAAGTTACGTGGGATAAATAGGAGAGATTTCAGAACTCTACAATCAGTTTGGCTGCTTAGGCGCAGAAGCAACTCTCCAACTTTCCCAAGGGGCTCCTACCAAGGGAAGACATTGTCAGATTGGACGGGATTCCTTTCGTACCCCGGCTGTGAAGGATAAAGCCTCACGCCAGTTTTACCACGATCAGGAGAGTAACCGGTTCCAACAGCGCCGTGGGGTAGAGGTAGAACCATCTCCAGAGGCAGAGGCGGATGCAGGAACTGACTAAACAGGTGTATCCAAAGTTACTTATGGACCTTGATTAAGATAGAACGATATAAAGGTGACTTTTAGTGTGACTTGTAGTGTAACATATCTGTTGAATATGTTCTGTGCTATACGCAAATTAGAGGCTTCAGTCGGCAAAATCTATATTAGTTTACATGTAGTTATAACTGAATGTAAAATAGTATTTACTTCAACGTGAATGTCCATAGTGTTATTATTGCGCTTTAATAAATATAAAACCTTCTCCAGTAGTTCCTTTCTGGCAACGGTAACATATCTGCCCTGCAAATTGGAGACATGGAATGTTCTTGAAACAAAAAGAGTTTCTCGAAGAGGAAAACCGAAATTATGTTAGTAATTTTCCTTTATGTTCCAACCCACATGTGGGATTCGGTTAAGGATGAGATGGCGACAGGTAAAGTTTGCTAACTTTTTCAACATATAAAGACATTCATTTGGCGTCCTGAAGCACGAATGTTACCAAATCACGTGTTGAGACAAAGAGATCAGTCTGGGGGTTGATTTGGCAAGTACATTACATTGTAATTAACTCTATGCACATATGCCTGGGACTTAAAACTTGTTTAATGTACACGCTTAGCGGAGAATAAACTTAATAGTCACGTAATACCATACTCACGCAGCATATACTTATACCAAATGTAATTGAAGAAAGTATTGTTTTTTTATGAAGGCGCTATCATGAGTTATAAGGCTGCAAAGCCCCTTTTGCGACGAGGGATTCGGGGTCTATTCAGAGGGTATTCGGGAATCATCATTGGTACGAGGGACGCAATAAGATCGTATTTAGCACGCAGATTCAACAAAATAATAAATGGTGTACTTAAATCACTTCCTATGTATATTTCACTTGGTTTTTGTGTAATATGACCCAGGAAAGTGTTCTATAAGTTTTCGTTTGGCCCTCAAGGGAAAGGTGAGGGGCGGGGAAGGGGACCTTGAGCTATATTAATTCAGATATATTCGTTCTGTATGCTTTTGTGATTACCGATCTTCCTTAGAAAACGTAATAAAATACTGCTATCTCAGGTTCTCAGATCGTAACTCCCATACATTAACATAGGCTTACAATAGTCGTAGTGCTAAGATTGCTTTGTGCAAGTGGGCCCTGGTTCTTGACTATTTGCTACAACTATGGTGATGATTAAACCAGCAGCTTATACCAGGACAGCCTTAATATATAAAAATGCGAATAATTAAATTAATGTCTAAAATTAAACAATAAATTTGAAGCTTTGTTTGAAAGAAGTTATAAAAATGTTTCAATGTTTTTTTTATGCATTCAGAAAAACAGGCGATAGAAGGAAGCTTACTTTGTTAACTATCAAAATTTACAATTTAAATGCAAGTGTCTTCCTCCACTGTACAATACTGATATGACGATCTGACCGTCATTACGTTGCATTATGGAATGTAAAGAAAAGGAAAAGAAAAAATAATATCATATAGTTCTACAGTGTCACATTATTTCCGAGGAGTTCATTTAAGAGTCTAACTTATTTAAAGTAATTGAAAGTGAAAGTGGAAATGTTTTGAAACATGAATAATATTACTTTTCTTTTTTGAGCGGCGTGCATTGTGCATGGTCAAAGGGAGATAATAAAGGTAATTCTTGTGAGAAGAAGGCGGAAAAACGCCACATGTCACTGGATGTTTTGGTCAATGTTTCCTTCGGTAAAATGTCATCTAACTCCAAACTTCTGGAGGACAGAGTGTACGCAACGTTGAAAAATGTCTTCGGGCATGGTGAATTCAAAAGTCAGCTGCAAAGACAGGCGGTCCTTAGCATTGCAGAAGGTTTGTGAGATATACTGTCGCTGCTATTCGGGGCCAGCAGGTCTCAATTTCTGATCAGAAACAAATAGAGCTGACTTTGCAATGAACCGGATTGATTATGTGTACATGTATTTTGCACATATGGTATAACGGATTTGGCTATTGTTTTGTGGATTTACATACAATACCAACGACAAGTATCACAGTTTGTGTTTGCAAATTTCGTTATATTGGGTCGACAGATTGGTTAAATTTGATATAGGATACCAATATAGGCCTAGTACGCGGATACGGTATTGAGTTATCGTGTCTCATTGATTTCACCAACTGGTGTCGTGTAATGACATTTTCAGGTAACATTCGTGATCAGTTACAAACATATTGCACCTTGATGAATAAGTCATATATTCAGTCAAGGCTCAACATTTAAGTAGAACTGAGAGCTGTGAGGTCATATCGATGTACTGCGCCAATTTAATAATAAGACAGTTACACCAAATACATAGCTACGAATCCACCCTACAATTCTGTCAGTCTGAATGTCACACTTGCTTATAAACAGCAGCAAACCCGTCCTCTGTTCATCAACATGTTGAAGTGTCAAATGAACAGTAACACCCTTCAAGAGTCCAATGGTTTGCAATTGTACCAATTGAGGAAGAAAATATATTTTCTTTCAAACAGAATTGTTATTTTTCGTAAATGTGTGAGATATCTAGTAGTGACTGGGAGGGCATGATCTGTGATGAAATTGTGTGAGTCTCATGCCAAACACCAAATGCGTGAATATTTAATATTAAACATTCGAGACTCATTTTCCCACTGTTGCATGTTTTCATAAATCTATCAGATTCTTAGCGTTGATATTCAAATAAATCAGAATGTTCTGCAATCAAAAAATAAAACCTTACAATCAGATTTACACACCTACATGTCCTGAATTTTGTTGTTGATATTTTGTTGCTGATTTCCATCCATTTTGTGGTGGCTCAAAGCATAGTGTATGTTCTCAGGTTGATTTTGGTTTAGCTGAGTTTTCATGGTCTGTATCATTACCATACTCAGGGATAATTCTTGGGTTGGCCTTGTGCTTTTAGCCCCTAAATGTGAAAAAAAGGCCCACATTTTCAAATACAATGGGCCATTTTAACATTGTGCTGTATTGGCGACCCTCTGGAATATTTGAAATTATCACATGAAAGGCCCATGTCAGAAAATTCCTAGAGTGAACCCTGCATACTATGGAGACAGTTATTTAACAGTAGTTTCCATGGTTACGATATTCAGGCAATATGTATTGAACAGTTGTTAGGTGGGTTACAATATTTGACCTGACTAATTATTTACTGAAGGTCATGATATTCAGACTCACAGGGGCTGCAGCTGGAGCAGCATCCATTCATCCACCACCGTCTATTTTGTTCATAATGATCATTAGAGGTGAAATTGGATTAAACACGTGTGTGTGTGTGTATGTGTGTGTGTGTGTGTGTGTGCGTGCGTGCGCGCGTGCATGCACACTTGCACTAGTCCGAGCTGATGCTAATTTATAGTGCTAGCTCACTGAGATACCATGCCACAGTTTAACATGAATACCCCATTCAGATACAGTTTTCTGACTTTGAGCTGAGTCAGCCGACCAGTCCTTGTTTTAGCCCCTTGATGCCGAGCGCCAGACAGGGTAACAACAAGTACCACCTTTTGACATCTCTTGGTGTGACACGGCCGGGGATCGAACCCCAGACCTTCCGCTCTCCTGGCAGACGCTCTACCACTAGACCATGGACACGCTCCATAATTATCATCATGATATACAGTTTTCTACTCTTCTCAGATTGCCTCTGTGGTATAGTGAATAGAGCATATACCTGGAGAGGGGAAAGTCCCTTTGATTCCCTGGCTGTGTCATACCGAAAGACGTTAAAAGATTACTTCTTGTTATTCTTCCTGGCGCTCGGTATAAGGGAAAAACCCAAGGACTGGTCGGCATGGAGTCAGGGTATCCATGTTAAACTGTGGCATGGTTTCTCAGCATGAGCTAGCATAAAATTCTGTCACTAGTTTGGACACACATGTTTGCACATTGCAAAGTGACTGAGAGAAATAATCTTGAACATGTTGAATGTAACAAAACCTGTTTCACCTTGCCTCAACTATTCATATCAACTTAATTGTTGATTGGACCGCCTCCGTGGTCTAATGGTAGAGCGTCCGCCCGGAGAGCAGAAGGTCATACCAAAAAGACGTTAAAAGATGGTACTTGTTGTTACCCTGTCTGGCGCTCAGCATTAAGGAGCTAAAACAAGGACTGGTCGGCTCGGAGTCAGTATACTGTGTCTGAGTGGGGTATTCATGTTAAACTGCGGCATGGTATCTCAGTGAGCTAGCACTATAAATCAGCATCAGTCCGGACTAGTACAAGCAGCCACACAAACACACACACATACATGCACGTTGCTATATAAGTGCAATAATCTTGGACGCGACGTTAAACCCCATTTCACCTCACCTCACCTAATTGTTGATTGTCATTTCCAGGGACAAAGGATGCCTTTGTCTCCATGCCAACAGGAGCTGGAAAATCCCTCTGTTACCAGCTTCCTGCAGTCCTCGCTGATGGAGTGTCACTGATCGTCTCCCCTTTGATAGCTCTCATGCAGGATCAGCTGGACCATCTACAGTCAATAAAAGTCGTGGCCAACACACTCAATTCCAAAATGACTACAAAAGAACGCAGCAGAGTTCTAGCAGATCTACACTCCACAAAACCGAAGATAAAACTGCTCTACATCACACCAGAACAGGCTGCAACGGATCACTTCAAATCACTTGTCGAATCTCTTGCCAACCGGAATCTGATTGGCTACCTTGTTGTTGATGAAGCTCACTGTGTTTCCCAGTGGGGCCATGACTTTCGCCCGGATTACCTCAAACTTGGATCTCTTCGCTACAAGATGCCTTCCGTGCCTTGTCTTGCGTTGACAGCCACGGCTACAGGTCAGGTTGTCGAGGACATCATGAAGCAGTTGAAGATGAAGAAAAATGTGATAAAGTTTAAGTCGAGTAGTTTTAGAGAGAATCTGTTTTATGAGATCTGTCTGAAAGAGGTTCTGCCAGACGCTCATGAAGATCTTGCTGTTTTCGTGCGGAAAAATCTGGGATATGATCCAGACACTGAAGAGAAAGTAGAAGACTGGGTAGGTGGTATGTTCCTGATAATGTGTGGCACTGTGAGTGAGTGAGTGTGTTGGGTTTAACACCACTTTAAACAGTATTCCAGTTATATCATGGCTTAATACAGGTATTAACTTTCATCACTTTGGTGAAAATCATGAGCACGGGTATGGTACTTACAAAAATAGAAACATAATTGGTGCAAACAGGGTTCTGAACTCATGATCATAGGTTTCTGGTGTGCCCAAGGGACGGGAGTCTGTACAGTGAGGGTGAGATATGATGTACACCACTTTGATCAGTATTTCAGATTATTTGTTAAGTCACAGAGTCAGCTTGGTGAAAGAGTAAAGTCCAAATTTATACAGGCCTACATCATGTACATGTTCAAAGATGCAATCGAACCCCAGACCTTCCGCTCTCTGGGTGGACGCTCTACAACTAGACCACAGTGGCAGTCCAAAGATGCAAAAAGCAAGAATCATGGGTTTGAATCCAAGATCATCGGATCCTGGGACAATTCTGTGAACTTGGCCACTCGCATGAAGTGTACATTGGCTCATAGTATTCGTAGGATCTGAACATGCTTGAAGTAATGAATGTTTCCTTGGTTTTTACTGATGCAAATTGTGTCTATTATGCTGTTGTTGTGGTATAATATACTTTGCAAGTAAGAGTGAGTGAATGAGTATGGTTTTACGAACGAATATGGTTACATCAAGGTGAATGGTAAATGGGCTTCTCTCTTTGAACCCATGTTGGGAATTGAACCCAAATGAATTGATGAGCAAATGCTTTAATCACTAGGCTCCCCCACCACCCTTGCTAGTAAGAAGCAAGTGTCATTTGTTATAAACCCACTGAGGAATTCCTAATATGTCTAAACATGGGTGAATTCCGGGTTAAAATATAGGTCCCCTGCAGCCTATGCTTGTTGTAAGAGATCTGGGTTCAGACTCAGTGACTTGGCTGAATGTTTGTCATCGTTTCCCAATTCCTCATGATGTTAATCACTGGGTTGTCTGGTCCAGCCTCAATTAATGACGAACTGCTGCCATGTAGCTGGAATATTGATGAGTGCAGCATTTATCAACAAACAAACAAATGAAATGTCCTATATTTGTTTGTCTCAGACTGACTTTGGATGTGGGATCGTCTACAGTCGGACACGGAATGGATGTGAAGAGATTGCCTACCAGCTGTCTCGCAAGGGTATCCCAGCCAAGGCGTACCATGCAGGCCTGAAGCAGTCTGAGAGGGAGGGAGTGCAGACAGACTGGATGGAGGGGCGGGTGCCTGTCATTGTCGCCACCATCAGCTTTGGTATGGGTGTTGATAAGAGAAATGTCAGGTCAGTCTTCAGGGATAGAATCTGGTATATATTTTACTTATCCTGCATTATTCCTTAATGCATTCACGGCTAACTTTACGACAACAAAAAGAAAGGGCTTGGCGATGGTCTTGGGTGGAGAAACAAAGATGTTTCCCATTCCACTCCTGCTTTTTGCCTGGACCATCGCCGTCGTCATGTGACCTTGATGACAAGTCACCTTCCTCACATCACTGCCTGTTGCGGTAAAGCAAGGACGTCTCTCAGCATGTTCAGCTGAGCTCTTCAAAATTGGATTTTTTTTAGACCTTTAGCTTCGGCTATTATTCTAAATTTCAAATAATGTAAAAAATATTTAGATTTACTAATTTATTGACAGTATGTGACAGTGATATTAAGCATGAAATCAAGGTCTCCTTGTCGTAAATCTGTTAAAAGATTTTTGGGTTCCCTAGATTCGAATTCTCAAGTAGACCTCAAGGGCCACAGGCTCCTCCTTAATGTTAAAAAATTGTATATATTTGGTGAGTGTTATTGCATTATGGATTGCATTGGTTTGTATGTCTCTAAACTTTATGAATGTTATATGATGGTTGGCATTGTCATATTTACGGGGGGCACGGGCCAGTCGTCTAAGGCGCCGCGATTTGCTGTGCAGAGTTGCGTCCTGTGGACACTCCAGAAACCTATGATTGTGGGTTCGAATCCCGGTTCGCCCCGATAATGTTTCTAGGTTTGTCAACACCATACCCGTGCTCGTGGGTTTCACCGAAGTGATAAACGTCTAAGACCTGCATCACTTCGGGCTTTCCTCCCACATTAAGCTGACACGCCGCGATATAACTGGAATATTGTGAAAAGCGGCGTTAGACCCAAATCACTCACTCATTCTTTACGAAGAGATGAATGGGAGACAAAATCATGCCAGCATGCTCTCTGAATGCATTTTATCCGAATATGATGAGTGCACAGGAATATTCCTTGTACGTATGATTGAATATGATGACTATTTTTACTGTTCTTTCCTCAGGCTACCTCTAAGTTTTGCCTCAATTATGTTCTAGGTTTGTAGCTCACTGGACATTGCCAACCTCCATGGCTGGCTACTATCAGGAATCGGGCCGTGCAGGGAGAGACGGCAAGCCATCTGTGTGTCGGCTGTACTATTCACGAGAAGAGAGGGATCGAGTTGCCTTTCTTATTCGGACAGACACAAATAGACCATCCGTAAGTTTGGGTCTGAGTGAAAATTCCAGGTTAGATTAGGTCCAAAGCTTCCTATGTCGGCCATAAGAGACGATAGGGTGGTCAGATTCGGTGACTTTGTTAGTGAGGTGTCAACATAGCACCATCGTGTACATTATTGCTCACAATAACAATCCCTAAATTTTCTGGTCCAGGGGTCAATTATTTACAGATCGCTGGAATATTATAGCTAGAGTATTGCAGAACGTGAAGCAGAGCTGGAAGCATGAAGTCAAGAAGCTATGTGTGAAAAACCTGTGAAGATCCGGATTAGAATAGGTCTTCAGCAACCCATGCTTGCTGTAAAAGGCACTTTGCTTGTCGTAAGAGGCGACTGACGGGATCAGACTTGGTTGATGCATGTCATCGTATCCCAATTGCATAGATCAATGCTCATGATATCACTGGATTGTTTGGTCCCAATTTGATTATTTACCGACCGCCGTCATATGGCTGGAAAATTGCTGATTGCGGCGTTAAAAAAAAAAAAGAAGCTATGTGTAAAATCTTATTGGTTAATCCTCAGAGTAATTCTGTATATTACTAATGCATTGGTGGTAAGTTTCCCTTGTTTTGAAGCAAGGGGTTTTGGTGGAGCCTTGTGATTTCCAGATGTTGTTAAGGGCAGCGTAAGATCCAGTCACTCTGTGTTCAAGGTTAATTCTTATACAGTAATTAGGCACAAATCGCAGAAAGGATGTCCTTTTAAGTAGGCTGTGGCACTAAAATATGAATTTGTCAAAACTAAAACCCATTATCCATTCACTTGCCAATTGTGTTGTCATAGTCAGTTATTTATTTACTAAACATGCTGAAGTCAGTGTATTTGTAAAGGTTGTCTACCTGTGAAAAAGTCTAGACTGACATAAGTAAAGTTATCTTTGTGGTCAAATAAAAATAAAGGGGACCCTAAAGTATTAATGAACCCTCAAGACTCTCAATTTCGGACTTCAAGCCTGTGACTAGGATGAGTGTCGGATGGGGCCAATTGTTTTATTCTTGGGCAAACTATTCTCTAATTACACCATGCTTGGTGTGGGTTAACCTGATGTGTGTGATTGGTTGGTTGTTGTGTGTGATGTGGCTGATTGTTGTGTGGACGGTTTTATTGCTACCAACTACTGGTTTGTCTTGAATACTGGCTGCCGTTGTGTAGCTGTAATACTGCTGACTGCAGCGTTAGTTGGCTCCATGTGTGCAACATTGTTATTCAACAGTGTGTTGCGAAACACTTATTTGCTTCAGAAGAAGAAGAAGGAAACAGCTGTAGTCCGAGCCAAGTCTGCCAATGCCGGTTTTGATGCGCTGGTCAAGTTTGCTGAGGAGTTGAAGTAAGTCATGGCTTCTATAAAATCTGTTCTGATAGCATATAAAGCCTCAGTAACTATATTTGACTATATTTATATTTGTATTATTTCATTATCTCACCCCCCCCCCCCCACGCCCCCCCCCCCGAAAAGGTGGCGGGGGATATTGAAATGGGTTCTGTGTCTCCGTGTGTGTGTGCATCACGAAATGGTTTCCAGAGCATAACTCAGAAACCGTTAAATATTTCTCTATGAGACTTTGCATGTCTATCAGACTCATGCTGAACTGGTGTCTTTTGCTTTTTAGGAATTTTAGTATTTTTTATTTTTTATGTTTCCATGGCAATTAGTTGCACTTAGGTTCTATAAGGGTGGTGTTCATTTCCGGAGCGTAACTCAAAAACTGTTAAATACTTTCTTACAAAACTTTGCATGTCTACCAGGCACATACTGAACTGGTGCCTTTTGCTATTTAGGAATTTTATGAAATTTATTTTTTATGTTTCCATGGCAACAAGTTGGACTTAGGTTCTATAGGGTAGAGATTGTTTGCGGAGCATAACTGAAAACCCATTGAATACTTTCTAACAAAACTTTGCATGTTTACCAGACACATACTGAACTGGTGTCTTTTGCTATTTAGGAATTTTATAAATTTTTATTTTTTACGTTTCCATGGCAACAAGTTGGACTTAGGTTCTATAAGGGTGGTGTTCGTTTCCAGAGCATAACTAAAAAAACGTTAAATACTTTCTTACAAAACCTTTTTTACTTAGTGATAAGTGTCTCCAATTGGGACAAGTTTTCTCAAAAACCACTGATGTTACATGAATGAAACTTTGCAAGCTTATCTAAGAGAATCTTTACATATCAAGATTGAGTTCGAAAATTGGTGCCATAATTTATTTATTCCGGCGAAGGGACCTTTCATTCATATTAATTTCTAATCTGAACAGATTTTCTCAAATTTTCAGATAACATATGAAGCCATCAGATTTTCTCAAATTTTCAGATAACATATGAAGCCATCCTACTGCTTATCACTTCTTAAGGCTTTATGGGACGCTGAGTTCTGTTCCTTGAGCATGTTGAGCACACCTGAAATCTATGATCGTGGGGTCCAAACCCAGTTCACTCTGATTTTGTTTCTAGGTTTCTCAGCATCATACCTGTGCTCCTGGATTGCACCACATTAAGGTTACATGCCTGGTATAACGGGAATATTGTTCAAAGAGGTGTTAAACCAAACTGACTCACTCATGGCGGGGGATAGTGATAACGCTGTTTTCTTGTTGTATTTAGGATGAGTCTGGATTTCTGGAAATCATTTTCTATTATATTGACTGATTGTCATCCAAAAATATCCTGGGCCCTGTTCCACAAAGCGATCGTAGCCCTACGACTGTCATAAGTCTATGTTAACGTATGGAAGTTACGATCATCTTAGCGCTACGATTGCTTTGTGGAACAGGGCCCTTAACCTTTTTGTTCAAGTTGATAATGATATAGAGGAATGTCCTATCCAATGTTGACCGCCTCCGTGGTCTTGTGGTAGGGCGTCCGCCCGGAGAGCGGAAGGTCCGGGGTTCGATCCCCGGCCATGTCATACCAAAAGACGTTAAAAGATGGTACTTGTTGTTACCCTGTCTGGCGCTTGGCATTAAGGGGCTTAAACAAGGGTTGGCTTAAAGGTCGGCTCGGAGTCAGTATACTGTGTCTGAGTGGGGTATTCATGTTAAACTGCGGCATGGTATCTCAGTGAGCTAGCACTATAAATCGGCATCAGTCCGGACTAGTACAAGCAGCCACACAAACACACTCACGTGTATGCACGTCGCTATATAAGTGCAATGATCTTGGACGCGACGTTAAACCCCATTTCACCTCACCTCACCTCACCTCACCTCACCTCACCTCACCTCACCTCACCTCACCTCACCTCACCTCACCTATCCAATGTGACATGATCTGATCCTACACCTGAATGCTTGGGCAGATCTGGTGATGTGTTAGCTCCTGTCTGGAGTTGGGTCTGTTGGTCAGGGGTGGTAGGGTAGCCAAGTGGTTAAGGCATTTGCTCCTTATGTTTAAGGACCAGGTTTGATTCCTCAATGCGTGAAGCTCATTTCTGGTGTCCGCTGACATGATATTGCAGGAATATTGCCAACAAAGCAGCATAGAGCCATATTCACTCACACTAATTACAATCAGATCTATTACTCTGATTTTATGCCTCTCGCTGTAAGGATCTGACTAACGCTTCATGGACATGCCGGAGACCCGGAGTGAACTTTGATGCCCGATCAAAATGAAATATTCAGTGGAGTATTAAGCATTTTGAGCAAATTTTTGTCAAACTGGGAGCCTTGGAAAGGGCCTAACAGGTAGTTTTACCAATGCTTGGTGTAGAAATGAAACCACAGTAGAGGCGACTGATGGAAGGGCTGAATCTGTCTATAATTTTGCAAAAGTAGTTACTAAAAAAGATGTTTGATAATATTCTGATTTTGAGCTTATTTTCTCTTTGTATTTCTATGGTGAATTTTTCATCCATTTTATATTTTATTTTGTTTTCTTCGTAAGTAACCCCAAATTGACTCCATCACCATTTTCCCTCTTGAATCTTGGCTTATTCGCCAAGAAGATCCTGAAAGGCAGTTGATCTGGTATTCATGCCCCATAAATATTATTTAACCTCTGTGACTCTTTCAGATGTCGACATGCAAGTATTGCAGCCTACTTCGAAGATGAGAAACCCAAATGTGACGAGGGCTGTGATGTGTGCAGTAACCCCAAGCTGGTGGAACTTACCATGCTCAATCTACAGCGTGGGACCTATGCCAGTGTCAACAAGGTCGTCGGGAAAGGTGGCATCTTCTTCATGGATGAAGACGCCAGCAATATGTACGGAGGCGGCAGAAAAGGAGTTAAAAAGTAAGTTAGGGAATTTCAGAAAATGACCCGGAATCATGGGTAAACCAGGCATCTGGCAGCATCAGCCGGTTGAGTTAGAATCCCATCTTCAAAATCTCCAGTGCTCAGATTTTGGTGAAGCGCGGATATCTCTGCGAAAGTAGGTCGTGTCCAGAACCCTCTGCTTACCGAACGGTAGTGAGGATCGAGTGGTTGTGTTCGAAGGCCTGTGAGGGCAGTTGTTGGTCGTTCCTCTTCCTAACAAAGCGTACTCAGAATGTAAAAAAGACCGCATGGCTACTACACCTTACGTCGTCAGACTGTAAGCAAGCAGGTGGTACTTGTAGAACTCCGCTGTCTGGGGCAAGGGTCTCGTACTCTGTTGCCTATGGGATGGGTTCCCCTTCTCGTTCTGGTGCACTCATTCTTTGCAGTTGTGGGGGGCGCGGGTGGCCCAGTCGTCTAAGGCGCCGCGATTCGCTGTGCAGAGTTGCGTCCCTTGGACACGCCAGAAACCTATGATTGTGGGTTCGAATCCAGGTTCGCCCCAATTATGTTTCTAGGTTTGTCAGCACCATACCCGTGCTCGTGGGTTTCACCGAAGTGATAAACGTCTGAGACCTGCATCACTTCGGGCTTTCCTCCCACATTAAGCTGACACGCCATGATATGACTGGAATACTGTTAAAAGCGGCGTTAAACCCAACTCACTCACTCACTTTGCAGTTGTGTTTGAAATTTTTAACAAAGGGTAAAAAGAGATTCTAAGCTGTTACAGCTTACGATTCGAAAGAGAATGAGTAAATTTGGGATGTCTTATGATCAATATATGGGTAACAAACCAGGGCACAGCCTATTGTGGATGAAGGTAGCTATGGATACGACTGGGATGTGTTGGGGTGCCTTGGTTTTTTAAGATAGAAACAAGTTGGAGGATCGTTTCCAAACTCCTATTGCCAGCATGACCAAAACACGAGATGCAGAGTAAAATTGTGCACATCGTGCAATGACTCGATGATGATGTTGGCGGTGCCTGAGAACCAAGACTATTATTTTTTTTAGCCTAACTCAGCAATATTCCAGGGATATTCAGTACTGTTTTGATAGTGTTTTAACTATTGCACTTTAAAACTAACCCTGATAGTTCTCCTTATTTCCGATGTTCTGTGTGTTCAGAGAGTCGGATGATTATGCCCGTGGCTTTAGTGATGAAGAAGGTCCGGACAAAGAGGCGCAGGAACTGAAAGAGAAGTCGCAGCGGACACGGATGATCATGAAAGAGTTCAAGAAGAGGCGAGGGGTGAGAGGAAATCAGTGGGAATTAGAACCTCAGTGCCCAATGCTTGTCTGGCTCAGCATCTTCAGAAGAGTAACCTCTTAGGTTGAATACTATTGTGGATGAGTGGGAGTACCAATGTTGTCGAGTAAAGCATTGTCACCAGTAGGAGTAACATTGTCACCAGTATGAGTAACATTGTTGCCAGTATTAGTAACACTGTAGTCAATATAAGTAACATTGCAGGCCAGTATGAGTAACATTGTTGCCAGTATGAGTAACATTGCAGGCCAGTATGAGTAACACTATCGCCAGTATGAGTAACATTGTAGCCAGTATGAGTAACATTGTAGCCAGTATGAGTAACATTGTAGCCAGTATAAGTAACATTGTAGCCAGTATAAGTAACATGGCAGCCAGTATAAGTAACATTGTAGCCAGTATGAGTAACATTGTTGCCAGTATGAGTAACATTGTTGCCAGTATGAGTAACATTGTCGCCAGTATGAGTAACATTGCAGCCATTATGAGTAACATTGTCGCCAGTATGAGTAACATTGTAGCCAGTATGAGTAACATTGTAGCCAGTATGAGTAACATTGTAGCCAGTATAAGTAACATTGTAGCCAGTATAAGTAACATTGCAGCCAGTATAAGTAACATTGTAGCCAGTATGAGTAACATTGTAGCCAGTATGAGTAACATTGTTGCCAGTATGAGTAACATTGTCGCCAGTATGAGTAACATTGTAGCCAGTATAAGTAACATTGCAGCCAGTATAAGTTACATTGTAGCCAGTATAAGTAACATTGTAGCCAGTATGAGTAACATTGTTGCCAGTATGAGTAACATTGTCGCCAGTATGAGTAACATTGTAGCCAGTATGAGTAACATTGCAGCCATTATGAGTAACATTGTCGCCAGTATGAGTAACATTGTAGCCAGTATGAGTAACATTGTAGCCAGTATGAGTAACATTGTAGCCAGTATAAGTAACATTGTAGCCAGTATAAGTAACATTGCAGCCAGTATAAGTAACATTGTAGCCAGTATAAGTAACATTGTAGCCAGTATGAGTAACATTGTAGCCAGTATGAGTAACATTGTAGCCATTATGAGTAACATTGTCGCCAGTATGAGTAACATTGTAGCCAGTATGAGTAACATTGTAGCCATTATGAGTAACATTGTCGCCAGTATGAGTAACATTGTAGCCAGTATAAGTAACATTGTAGCCAGTATAAGTAACATTGTAGCCAGTATGAGTAACATTGTAGCCATTATGAGTAACATTGTCGCCAGTATGAGTAACATTGTAGCCAGTATGAGTAACATTGTAGCCATTATGAGTAACATTGTAGCCAGTATGAGTAACATTGTAGCCAGTATGAGTTACATTGTAGCCAGTATGAGTAACATTGTAGCCAGTATGAGTAACATTGTTGCCAGTATGAGTAACATTGTAGCCAGTATGAGTAACATTGTCACCAGTATGAGTAACATTGTAGCCAGTATGAGTAACATTGTAGCCAGTATGAGTAACATTGTTGCCAGTATAAGTAACATTGTAGCCAGTATGAGTAACATTGTCGCCAGTATGAGTAACATTGTCGCCAGTATGAGTAACATTGTAGCCAGTATGAGTAACATTGTAGCCAGTATGAGTAACATTGTAGCCAGTATAAGTAACATTGTTGCCGGTATGAGTAACATTGTCGCCAGTATAAGTAACATTGTTGCCAGTATGAGTAACATTGTAGCCATTATGAGTAACATTGTCGCCAGTATGAGTAACATTGTAGCCAGTATGAGTAACATTGTAGCCAGTATGAGTAACATTGTAGCCAGTATGAGTAACATTGCAGCCATTATGAGTAACATTGTCGCCAGTATGAGTAACATTGTAGCCAGTATGAGTAACATTGTAGCCAGTATGAGTAACATTGTCACCAGTATGAGTAACATTGTGGCCAGTATGAGTAACATGGCAGCCATTATAAGTAACATTGTAGCCAGTATGAGTAACATTGTAGCCAGTATGAGTAACATTGTTGCCAGTATGAGTAACATTGTTGCCAGTATGAGTAACATTGTCGCCAGTATAAGTAACATTGTAGCCAGTATGAGTAACATTGTCGCCAGTATGAGTAACATTGTTGCCAGTATGAGTAACATTGTGGCCAGTATGAGTAACATTGTAGCCAGTATGAGTAACATTGTCGCCAGTATAAGTAACATTGTAGCCAGTATGAGTAACATTGTCGCCAGTATAAGTAACATTGTAGCCAGTATGAGTAACATTGTAGCCAGTATGAGTAACATTGTAGCCAGTATGAGTAACATTGTCGCCAGTATGAGTAACATTGTAGCCAGTATGAGTAACATTGCAGCCATTATGAGTAACATTGTCGCCAGTATGAGTAACATTGTAGCCAGTATGAGTAACATTGTAGCCAGTATGAGTAACATTGTCACCAGTATGAGTAACATTGTGGCCAGTATGAGTAACATGGCAGCCATTATAAGTAACATTGTAGCCAGTATGAGTAACATTGTAGCCAGTATGAGTAACATTGTTGCCAGTATGAGTAACATTGTCGCCAGTATAAGTAACATTGTAGCCAGTATGAGTAACATTGTCGCCAGTATGAGTAACATTGTTGCCAGTATGAGTAACATTGTGGCCAGTATGAGTAACATTGTAGCCAGTATGAGTAACATTGTCGCCAGTATAAGTAACATTGTAGCCAGTATGAGTAACATTGTCGCCAGTATAAGTAACATTGTAGCCAGTATGAGTAACATTGTAGCCAGTATGAGTAACATTGTAGCCAGTATGAGTAACATTGTTGCCAGTATGAGTAACATTGTAGCCAGTATGAGTAACATTGTAGCCAGTATGAGTAACATTGTCGCCAGTATGAGTAACATTGTAGCCAGTATGAGTAACATTGTAGCCAGTATGAGTAACATTGTAGCCAGTATGAGTAACATTGTCGCCAGTATAAGTAACATTGTAGCCAGTATGAGTAACATTGTAGCCAGTATAAGTAACATTGTAGCCAGTATAAGTAACATTGTAGCCAGTATGAGTAACATTGTCGCCAGTATGAGTAACATTGTAGCCAGTATGAGTAACATTGTAGCCAGTATGAGTAACATTGTAGCCAGTATGAGTAACATTGTCGCCAGTATAAGTAACATTGTCGCCAGTATGAGTAACATTGTAGCCAGTATAAGTAACATTGTAGCCAGTATAAGTAACATTGTAGCCAGTATGAGTAACATTGTAGCCAGTATGAGTAACATTGTAGCCAGTATGAGTAACATTGTCGCCAGTATGAGTAACATTGTCGCCAGTATGAGTAACATGGCAGCCATTATAAGTAACATTGTAGCCAGTATGAGTAACATTGTAGCCAGTATGAGTAACATTGTTGCCAGTATGAGTAACATTGTCGCCAGTATAAGTAACATTGTAGCCAGTATGAGTAACATTGTCGCCAGTATGAGTAACATTGTTGCCAGTATGAGTAACATTGTGGCCAGTATGAGTAACATTGTAGCCAGTATGAGTAACATTGTCGCCAGTATAAGTAACATTGTAGCCAGTATGAGTAACATTGTCGCCAGTATAAGTAACATTGTAGCCAGTATGAGTAACATTGTAGCCAGTATGAGTAACATTGTAGCCAGTATGAGTAACATTGTCGCCAGTATGAGTAACATTGTAGCCAGTATGAGTAACATTGTAGCCAGTATGAGTAACATTGTCGCCAGTATGAGTAACATTGTAGCCAGTATGAGTAACATTGTAGCCAGTATGAGTAACATTGTAGCCAGTATGAGTAACATTGTCGCCAGTATAAGTAACATTGTAGCCAGTATGAGTAACATTATAGCCAGTATAAGTAACATTGTAGCCAGTATAAGTAACATTGTAGCCAGTATGAGTAACATTGTCGCCAGTATGAGTAACATTGTAGCCAGTATGAGTAACATTGTAGCCAGTATGAGTAACATTGTAGCCAGTATGAGTAACATTGTCGCCAGTATAAGTAACATTGTAGCCAGTATGAGTAACATTGTAGCCAGTATAAGTAACATTGTAGCCAGTATAAGTAACATTGTAGCCAGTATGAGTAACATTGTAGCCAGTATGAGTAACATTGTAGCCAGTATGAGTAACATTGTCGCCAGTATGAGTAACATTGTCGCCAGTATGAGTAACATTGTTGCCAGTATGAGTAACATTGTAGCCAGTATGAGTAACATTGTTGCCAGTATGAGTAACATTGTAGCCAGTATGAGTAACATTGTAGCCATTGTGAGTAACATTGTCACCATTATGAGTAACATTGTCGCCAGGATGAGTAACATTGCAGCCATTATCAGTAACATTGCAGCCATTGTGAGTAACATTGTTGCCGGTATGAGTAACATGTGACATATAAGTAACATTATAGTAACATTATAGTCAACATAAGTAACATTGTAGCCAGTATAAGTAACATTGTGGCCAGTATGAGTAACATTGTGGCCACTATGAGTAACATTGTTGCCAATATGAGTAGCATTGTAGCCAGTATGAATAAAATAACATTGCTGCAAATTTCAATACCAGTTTTTCAGAGTGCAAAAAGCAATATTGCTCAGTTTGAATACCAGTGTTGCTGAGTATGAATAACATTGGTGCCAGTATGAATAAATTAACATTGTTGCCAATACGAATAACATTACTGTCAATACAACTACCATTTTTCTTCTGTTTGAATACCATTGTTGCCAGGTGTAAATAACATTATTGTGCAGTATGAAGAAGTTTGTTGCGGAGTATGAATAACATTATTGCCCAGGTCGAATACCATTATCACAGACTATGAATGCTGTTTGTTGCCCTATTTGACTACCCTTGGTTCAGAATAAGAATAACATTGACATGATTGATGTCAAGAATGTATGAAATATTCTGTTTTTGTGACAACAGGATGGTGAGCCAAGCAGTCGCCCAGAGAATGACTTCAAACCCCCAACACTTGACTGTCCACTCAGAGATGCGTCCAGTCAAAAGATTCCTAAACTCACAGTCAAGGTTGGTTCGTAGTCACTGCCAAACATTTGTCAAAACTGAAGTACCTGTACTATTATTTAGTTAGCATCAGAAACTAAGAAGGGTCCTTGTTATGTTCTGTCATAGTACTGGAATCCTGGAACCACCTCCTTGTTCTTTTGTCTTGAACATTAGTGTAATGACAAAAAAACATTGACTTGTACTCTTCATTTCATACACTGGTGGTAGTTACTCGTGTTAGAAATTCAAGAGGTCATTGACATTTAATGACTATTCAACATTAGGCTTAAGGATTGGTTCCCGGGCAAAGGTTTTTACAAATACAGTGCGTGTGGGCGGCACTCAGAATCCTTTCAATATTTTTTCATGAAACTTTGCAGGTTTGTCAGGTACATGCTGAACTGGTGCCTTCTGCTATTTAGAAATTTTAGAAATTTTTATTTTTTACGTTTCCATGGCAACAAGATGGACTTAGGTTCCAAACTCTTTTTTTTTTTTCAATGTCCATGACAAGTTCCACCTCGGTTAAAAAAGGTTAGGGTTTGTTTAGATTTAATTATGTCATAAATTCTGCAACAGGGGCGGGGGATACAGCCACGTTAGTGGCAAACTCTTGTTGTTTTTGTTTTTGTTCTGGAAACTAGTATGTTACCAAATGAGCTGTTGTGTGCAAGCAGCCAGGGATAGGGCCTTCCTACTGAATGTATTCCTTGTTGAGGAAAATACTGGAATACAATATTTGATCACTGTACGACTACCAGTGTGTGCAGAATACACACATACAATGAGCTTCAATTTAATTTCACAACGCGAAGACATTTTTGTGAGCATACAACACACTATCAACTATAGATCGGGGAGAAAATGTGTGAACAGCTGATTGCTATTTCCGGCTTATTTTACGAGACAAATACACACTTAATCTCAGTCCATGCATATGAAACATTGTACGAAAATACAATGGAATTTGTAAATCATCATGTCTAGTGATATTTTATCATTTATTTCATGTTTTGGAATTTGTTAATCATTATGGCTAGTGATATTTTATCATTTATTTCATGTTTTCATTGACCAAATTTGCAAATGCGCCTAGATTGTACATATATTGCCGCCATGACCATAACACGAGACGTGCAGTAAAGCAGGGCAAATGTAAAGGGAAGTAACTGCCTGCTATATTGCTAAATTTCACTGCTGGGGTCGTGTCTTCAAGATGCAGAATATTTAAGGATTTTTTTCTTTTTAATTAAAATAAAAACGAAATGTGTGGTAGACTTTGTAATCATGCGGCAGTGTCCAAGAACCAAGACTATTATATTTTTAGCCTTAGGGTTATATGGTTATGAAAAGGACTCTTAGGTTTCATGCATGATTTCAAACACTGATTACAATGGACAGAATCTATGTACAATTTCTTGTAAAATATTTACGTATAAACTGGTAATGCCTTTCCTTGATATATTATTTATTGCATTGTAAGAACAGTGTAACTTAACTTTTTATGTAATAATGAATTAATTGCATTTTGAATATAGAATCTGGCACCTTATAAAGGGAACTAACCCTTCGTGTATATTATTTTAAATTTTTTATTTTTTTGTTTTTAGATTCGGGAACATTGCTTCCAGATGTTGGAGACTGCCCTGTATGAAAACTATATTAATCATTATGAGAATGAATCAGATCGGATAAGTGCAAGAGACTACGTGCCAAGATGTTGTGCCCTTGACCTTGAATACCAAACATTCCAATCCAATAAAATTGCAAATGTGTACAAAGCTGGTGTTATGAGAGTTGTGTCCGAAATAAGGAAATGTACAAAAGACAAAAAAGTGCACACGTCACTGGAATCTAACACTAAGTCCAGCGCCAGTGGCAGGCCAGGATCTCCAGCCAATAGCCCAGGGGCTGACACCACAAACCCATCACTCCCCTTGGGAACAAAGGTGCATAAGAACACCGACACTGGCGCTTCAAGGCTAAGTGCTTCATCTGCATTCGTAACAGCATCTTCTTTACTTGCGTCACGTGAACGTAATTCTGATTCTGTGCCTTCGTCAACATGTAGCCTTCCATCGGAGCATCTTGTTGGAGAAAATGTGGTAGACAGTACACAGGATCCTGAGCCGCAGAAAAACAGTCGGAAAAATTCCAATTACAAAAAAATATTTTCAAATCAGGACAGTTCATCGTCAGAATCTGATGAAAGTGAAGCAAAGTTTGACATTGTGTGCTCCACGACAGCAATGAGGGACAAGGTGGTGCCGAAAATTACATACTTTTTTGAAAGTCAGTCTTTTAAGGGTAAAGAGGAAGAAAGTGTCAGCAGTGTTAGTGACAGTTGGACAGTGTCAAGTGTTAGTGTCCTTGACACTGTGGGAAGTGTGAAAAAATCCGACATCAGCAACAAGAAACGTCATAAAGAGGTATGTTACCATGAATACATGACCTTTTTATGGATAGCAACTTCTTGTATTCTTTGTTCTCCTGATGAAAGAGCAAGCAGTAGGTCTGAAACATTGTACAAAGAATAAAAGAAGTTGCTATCCTTAAAAAAGTGTCATGTATTCATGTTTCTCCCAACTTCTAAATGCCTATCAAAGACTTTATGTTACCATGGTTAGTTAGTATTATGTATCTACTGAAGCAGTGAGTGAGATGGTTTTGACACAGCTGGGACAGTATTTCAGTTGTACGATGGTGGGTTAGTTTCATCTTAAGTGATGGATGTTAACCACTTTCTAACAGACTTGAGCAAAAACCACAATCTCAAGATAAAATGACAAAAGTAATACTAATCTAATTCAGCTGTTTCTGCGGACCGCGGCTGGCTCGCGTACACGTTACATCTGCGACTGTTTATTTACCCAAACATTTCATTGGATTTGAAAACTACAGGACCCGTGAAGATCTGGGTTAGAATAGGTCTTCAGCAACCCATGCTTGCCGTAAAAAGCGACTATGGTTGTCGTAAGAAGAGACTAACGGGATTGGGTGGTCAGGCTTGCTGGCTTGGTTGACGCATGTCATCGTGTCCCAATTGCGTGGATCGATGTTCATGATGTCAATCACTGGATTGTCTGGCCCAGACTCGATTATTTACAAACTGCCGTCATATAGCTGGAATATTGTTGAGTGCAGCGTTAATCAACAAACAACAACAACTTTGCTATAATCATGGAAGCGACTTTATACCCCATTTCACCTCACCTAGAACATAATTGATTTCCTCTGGTTAAGGACAAGCCGGACAAGTCTGAGAAATGCAGCCCACCAGCCAAGAAAGCCAAACCCAGCCATGACGAAGCCAGTCCCAACTCCCCAACTGAGATGAAGGCCTATCCGATGAAGGAAGGCGATCAGACAAACCAGCCTCTACGCATACAGAAGAGTTCCACAGAGTTGAAAGGAGTTGCAGACCTTGTCGTCAAGTACCTCACTCCCCATTACAAAGATGGCAGGTTTGCTACAAAGGTCAGTTCTAAGTGTGTCCCTGCTTAGTTCTTGTAGAGAAGACCGCCTCCGTGGTCTAGTGGTAGAGCGTGCGCCCGGAGAGCGGAAGGTCCGGGGTTCGATCCTCGGGCGTGTCATACCAAAAGACGTTTAAATATGGTACTTGTTGTTACCCTGTCTGGCGCTCGGATTAAGGGGCTAAAACAAGGACTTGTCGACTCGGAGTCAGTATACTGTGTCTGAGTGGGGTATTCATGTTAAACTGCGGCATGGTATCTCAGTGAGCTACCACTATAAATCGGCATCAGTCCGGACTAGTACAAGCAGCCACACACACACACACACGTACATGCATGTTGCTATATAGAGGGGTCTAGGGGCCCGTGGTTTGGATCTATGGACTAAGGCTGGGACGGGTAACTCGAGTACTCAGGTCGGATGGGTGCTGAGTAGGACCCAGGTACCCACAGGACTACCCGGAACCATGGTTAGTCACATGATATATTGTTTAATGACAAAAAAATTCTAGAACTCTATGTCTAGACTACAAGTCACTAATTTTCGCAGTTCTTTCTGACTACTACGTCCACTCCTTCTGACTTTTTTATGTTTGAATAAAAATAAAACTTCAGTCAACGTCAGTGTATGCATGACCCGATCGTTTTGTACGTGTATCTAAACACATTTGCCAGGGCTACGGTCAAACTTTTCCAATTTGGACAGTTTGTACCTACCTCTTGAGAACTACAGCGGGTACCTGGGTGGGGTCGGGTAATAGGGGGAGGATACCCAGGTAGTAAGTTTGGACCCTCTAAGGCTTTAACGATGAACATGATCATGATTAGGCTTATCACAAGGACACCTTTACTATCAGGATTTGACTCAAACATTGTTAGGGATATCAAAATCAGTTTTGATAAATAACTATTAAAATATAACGTAAGTTGTCATTGTTCAGAAGTGTTGGTACTCACCTCACTTTGCTTCGTCACTTTCTAATTTATGACTAAGGTTTCCGCCATTTCTGATTTAAAATGAGTTGCACACTGTAACCTGCGTATTCTAGAAACCATGCCTTCTGGACTGAAATGAAGCATGAAAATCAAGGTGTCCTTGTCGTAATGCTATAAAGATGTTGCAGCGAAACTCATCCATGTTTAACATGCTTAAGGAGGCCAGATACCCGATATCCCACTGCAAAGGGACATACTGTTGACCATGAATAATCTGGATGATTTCACTGAGAACTTTACACTTTGACAGTATATTAACATGGCTACCCTGTATATCAACCAGTCTCAGCTAATCAGAGTTGTTGATGATCCGATCTTTTCACTTTGACAGTATATTAACATGGCTACCCTGTATATCAACCAGTCTCAGCTAATCAGAGTTGTTGATGATCCGATCTTTTCACTTTGACAGTATATTAACATGGCTACCCTGTATATCAACCAGTCTCAGCTAATCAGAGTTGTTGATGATCCGATCTTTTCACTTTGACAGTATATTAACATGGCTACCCTGTATATCAACCAGTCTCAGCTAATCAGAGTTGTTGATGATCCGATCTTTTCACTTTGACAGTATATTAACATGGCTACCCTGTATATCAACCAGTCTCAGCTAATCAGAGTTGTTGATGATCCGATCTTTTCACTTTGACAGTATATTAACATGGCTACCCTGTATATCAACCAGTCTCAGCTAATCAGAGTTGTTGATGATCCGATCTTTTCACTTTGACAGTATATTAACATGGCTACCCTGTATATCAACCAGTCTTAGCTAATCAGAGTTGTTGATGATCCGATCTTTTCACTTTGACAGTATATTAACATGGCTACCCTGTATATCAACCAGTCTCAGCTAATCAGAGTTGTTGATGATCCGATCTTTTCACTTTGACAGTATATTAACATGGCTACCCTGTATATCAACCAGTCTCAGCTAATCAGAGTTGTTGATGATCCGATCTTTTCACTTTGACAGTATATTAACATGGCTACCCTGTATATCAACCAGTCTCAGCTAATCAGAGTTGTTGATGATCCGATCTTTTCACTTTGACAGTATATTAACATGGCTACCCTGTATATCAACCAGTCTTAGCTAATCAGAGTTGTTGATGATCCGATCTTTTCACTTTGACAGTATATTAACATGGCTACCCTGTATATCAACCAGTCTTAGCTAATAAGAGTTGTGACCCGTGAAGATCCGGGGTAGAATAGATCTTCAGCCCCCATGCTTGCCATAAAAGGCGACTATGCTTGTCATAAGGGGGGACTTACGGGATCGGTGGTCAGGCTTGCTGACTTTGTTGATGCATGTCATCGATCCCAATTGCGCATGCGTAGATCAATGCTCATGACGTCAATCACTGTATTGTCTGGTCCAGACTCCATTATTTACCGACCGCCGTCATATAGCTGGAATATTGCTGAGTGCAGCGTTAAACAACAAACAAACAAACAAATAATTAGAGTTGTTGATGATATGATCTTCTCCGTCAAGCATGACAGGCTGTGTGAAGAGATGTGTTTCTCGGTTGCATATCATGGCAATGAGTGTCTGTATTGTTCCCTTGGATATGTGCTAGTTTAGGACAGTAGACAATATTCCCTTCAAACTCTCACAAAGACAGTTCATTTGTTTACCAACAAAACACACTACCTGTAAAATTGTCCTGTTTCTAAGGGAGATAACCCTTCCAACTCTAAATGTTCAGTCAGTCAAAATCGGCATTATTCTAATCTTTGTTCACAAACATTTGTTTTAGTATGTGAATTTCTCTACCATTTCACAAGCTTTTGCGTAAAACTGAATAATATGGCCTTTGATGCTGTGACTCCCCCCAAGCCTGTTGCTTTGGTAAATATCTAAAATACACTGATAGCTGAGCTGGTAAAAGAACTGTATGTTCCTCCAGATGGTAGCAAAGAATTGGTTTTATCGCATGATACAAAGCAGCAGAAAGTCATGGAAAGAGTATTCAAATAAATATTGACATGGAATGGTCTCAAAATATGTCATTAAGTAATTTGTTTCGGTTTCTGTATTTCCATAGGAGCATGTCACCTTGTAAACAAAAACAAATGTGTTTCATTAGAAAATAAATACATGATACAATTTTTAAAAATTGCTATTTGATATGGAAATATGTATTTAGTAGTGATTGTTTTCAAGGTGTATTCTTAACGTTATCTGACAACAGGCTTTAAGCTTCAACTTGTGTGAGGATTCTTGTTAGAATTGGTTCCAGCAACCTATGCTGGCTGTAAGAGACTTTGTGGATTGCTTGTCATCGTATCCCAACAGCATGGGATGTTGCTCATGACATCAATCAATTATTGAAAGGCCACCGTCATATAGCTGGAATATTGCTGAGGGTAGGGTTAAACAACAAACGAATAGAGCCAAAATTGATCTCAATGAACCCTTGCCTTTGATGAGGTGCCTAGAAGGGGGCCCTGGTGTCCAAGGCACACTTGGGCGGTCGGGTAGCCTAGTGGTTAAAGCGCTCGCTCGTCACGCCAAGACCCGGGTTCGATTTCCCGACATGGGTACAATGTGTGAAGCTCATTTCTGGTGTCCCCCGCCGTGATATTGCTGGGATATTGTGTAAAACCACACTCACTCACACCTAGGCACACTTGCACAAAGCAATCTTAGCGCAAAGGTGATTGTAACTCCCATACTTTAACATAGGTTTACAATAGTCTAAGCTCTAAGATCGCTTTGTGCAAGGGGGCCCAGATGCTCAGGTGGATTGTGTTTCATTGTACACCTGCCTTCGTGGTGGATAGTTGCTCACTCTATCAACCACTGTATTGGGAGTTGAGACCTGTTACGCTGTGAACCACATTGGTATTGTCACAGCTGGCAGGCCTGAAGCCCACTCACTCGTCATGCTCATTCCCAACTATTGTTTGTATTTCAGGAGCTGTTCAAGACAGTGGCCCGGTGCATTTCTCATAAAGTAGTGGAGACAACAAAAGGACTGCCTACAACTGGTACGATACTAAACGTTTGCTCTCAGTGTTTTTGTATCATTCAGTTCCATCTCTGCCTCTGTGGTCTAGTGGTAGAGCGTCCACCCGGAGAGTAGAAGGTCGGGGGTCCCGGGACGTTGTATGTTGTTGAACTTTTAGCCCTTAACATATTGATTCTGCCTCTAAAACGTCTTAGACCTGCATCACTTCGGGCTTTCCTCCCACATTAAGCTGACACGCCGCAATATAACTAGAATACTGTTAAAAGCAGCGTTAAACCCAACTCACTCACTCACTCAAACAGGCGAACACACATGCATGCACATCGCTATATAAGTGCAATGGTCTTGGACGCGTTTCACCTCACCAGTTCCATCATTACTCTGTTGAGAGGAATTCCAGCACAGAATAGGCACAGAACCCATGCTTGTAACATGTGTAGTAAGAGCAGGCTAAGAAATGATTGGGTGGCGGCAAAATTCTATCTGGCTGATGAACATGGAACGCAACTACATGAATGGTTGCTGATGTTATCAACCACTGGTTTGCTTGGCTCAGGTGGTGATATAGCTGGTATAGTGTCAGCTATGGCGTAAAACAGTATACATCCACTCACTTGATTCCATCGTGTCCGCAGCTCAACGGGAGTGGAGGTTCCAAGCGTTCCTTCCTTGTTAGCAGGGGAGAATGTCATGATTGGCTGTATAATGATCAATTTGACAAAGTTGCTATGAACCTAACTATGCTGTATTTTGTTGAGCCTCATATATGAGGTACTCAAATATGGCTTTAGTTTACTTCCAGGGATAATATGAAAGATTAGTTGACCATCAGCTTTCAGTAGTGGCCCATAATTTGCGTCAATGTTATACTATTATAGACAGCATTAGAAATTGGCACTAGTCCTATGGTCCTTGCTTAACTGGCCAATAGTTAAGGTATACTAAGGGCTAGTAGAAATTTACCCTTTATAGGGGTTTTGCTGTATGTTATCTTTATAAGGACTAGGTAGTGGGGAATGTTCGAGTAATTCTCCATTCTTTAAAAATAATGGAGCCAAGTCCCATTATTTTTAAGGAATGGAGAGTTACGAAGTTATTCCCCTACTTCTAACACATCCATAATTTTACTCTTTGACAAAACATTCTCTTGTGGAAAATATTTGAAAAATAAACCAGAGTTCTTTGTAGCCTGAATTTAAGCTGTATTAGTCGCCCTTGCGTGATGCATGATACGCCAAGCTCCGACTCAAGCTGATACATACTATTCTTGGTACATGGCTCTTCATAATTTAGTCGGGCCCTAAACTAGTATTTTATCAACCGCTTGCATAGGGACTATAGGAGTTTTTTCTTGTCAAGGGTTTATTTCATTGCTTTAAATATGAAAATGAAAATTGTTAGATGTAGCCAGCTTTAAGACATCATTATATACATATTACGTTTTGAGTTTGTTAGGATAAGGCAAGTATTTCATAACGTTTAAAAGTTAATTTCACACCTTGCCGTCATTTAGCTAAATCAACCAAAGCGGGTTTGACCCCTGCTTGCAACACATGTTTTCCGACAAAATTTGAAATCGTTCACTATAAAAATTTCCTTGTAAATTCATTGACATTTTGTTTCAAGATAATGTATAATTAGCAAACAACAGTCCATTCCTGAAAAATAATGGAGCATTTAAACAATAGAATGATATCACAGATGTGTTTTAATGGACTGTTAGTTTCTATCACTGATAGACAGTGATTCAGTGGTCAACTTTGAGGAGCCATCATACTGACCTAGAATTATTCCCATTTTTAGTATTCCAGGGAAAAAAAGGTCCCTTTACAAAGGTCTATTGTGTCACAGGGACATCTAGCTCCCATGCCATGGGGAAGAATAGGCACCCTGAGTCCCAGGGAAGAATAGTTCCTGTGTCCTGTGGAAGAAAAGGTCCCCTGTGTCAGGGAAGAGTAGATTCTCTGTATCTCAGGGAAGAATAGGTTCTCTGTATCTCAGGGAAGAGTAGGTCCCCTGTATCTCAGGGAAGAATAGATCCCCTGTATCCCAGGGAAGAATAGATCCCCTGTATCCCAGGGAAGAATAGGTCCCCTGTATCCCAGGGAAGAATAGGTCCCAGGTATCCCAGGGAAGAATATGTCTCCTGTATCTCAAGGAAGAATAGGTCCCCTGTATCTCAGGGAAGAATAGGTCCCCTGTATCTCAGGGAAGAAAAGGTCCCCTGTATCTCAGGGAAGAAAAGGTCCCCTGTATCAGGGAAGAGTAGGTTCTCTGTATCTCAGGGAAGAGTAGGTCCCCTGTATCTCAGGGAAGAATAGATCCCCTGTATCCCAGGGAAGAATAGGTCCCCTGTATCCCAGGGAAGAATAGGTCCCAGGTATCCCAGGGAAGAATATGTCTCCTGTATCTCAAGGAAGAATAGGTCCCCTGTATCTCAGGGAAGAATAGGTCCCCTGTATCTCAGGGAAGAATAGGTCCCCTGTATCTCAGGGAAGAATAGGTCCCCTGTATCTCAAGGAAGAATAGGTCCCCTGTATCTCAGGGAAGAATAGATCCCCTGTATCCCAGGGAAGAATAGGTCCCAGGTATCCCAGGGAAGAATATGTCTCCTGTATCTCAAGGAAGAATAGGTCCCCTGTATCTCAGGGAAGAATAGGTCCGCTGTATCTCAGGGAAGAATAGGTCTCCTGTATCTCAGGGAAGAATAGGTCCCCTGTATCTCAGGGAAGAATAGATCCCCTGTATCCCAGGGAAGAATAGGTCCCAGGTATCCCAGGGAAGAATAGGTCCCAGGTATCCCAGGGAAGAATATGTCTCCTGTATCTCAAGGAAGAATAGGTCCCCTGTATCTCAGGGAAGAATAGGTCCCCTGTATCTCAGGGAAGAATAGGTCCCAGGTATCCCAGGGAAGAATATGTCTCCTGTATCCAGGGGAAGAATATGTCTCCTGTATCCCAGGGAAGAATAGGAACCTGTGTCCAGGGGAAGAATAGGTCCCTTGTATCTCAGGGAAGAATAGGTCCCCTGTATCTCAGGGAAGAATAGATCCCAGGTATCCCAGGGAAGAATATGTCTCCTTTATCCCGGTGAAGAATATGTCTCCTGTATCCCGGTGAAGAATATGTTTCCTGTATCCCGGTGAAGAATATGTCTCCTGTATCCCAGGGAAGAATATGTCTCCTGTATCCCAGGGAAGAATGGGAACCTGTGTCCTGGGGAAGAATAGGTCCCCTGTATCTCAGGGAAGAATAGGTCCCTTGTATCTCAGGGAAGAGTAGGTTCTCTGTATCTCAGGGAAGAATAGGTCCCCTGTATCTCAGGGAAGAGTAGGTCCTCTGTATCTCAGGGAAGAGTAAGTTCTCTGTATCTCAGGTAAGAATAGGTCCCCTGTATCTCAGGGAAGAGTAAGTTCCCTGTATCTCAGGGAAGAGTAGGTTCTCTGTATCTCAGGGAAGAGTAAGTTCTCTGTATCTCAGGGAAGAGTAAGTTCTCTGTATCTCAGGGAAGAGTAGGTTCTCTGTATCTCAGGGAAGAGTAAGTTCTCTGTATCTCAGGGAAGAGTAAGTTCTCTGTATCTCAGGGAAGAATAGGTCCTCTGTATCTCAGGTAAGAATAGGTCCCCTGTATCTCAGGGAAGAGTAAGTTCTCTGTATATCAGGGAAGAGTAGGTTCTCTGTATCTCAGGGAAGAGTAAGTTCTCTGTATCTCAGGGAAGAGTAGGTCCCCTGTATCTCAGGGAAGAATAGGTCCCCTGTATCTCAGGGAAGGATAGGTCCCTCGTATCTCAGGGAAGGATAGGTCCCCGGTATCCTGGTAAAGAATAGGTCCCCTGTATCTCAAAGAAGAATAGGTCCCCTGTATCTCAGGGAAGGATAGGTCCCCTGTATCCCAAAGAAGAATAGGTTCCCTTGTCACTTTTATTTAGATGATGGGGATTGTTGCACATCTCCTGATGGTGTAGATTGTTGCTCAGCCCAGAATGTGTAGATTGTTGCTCAGCCCTAGGTCCCCTGTATCTCAGGGAAGAATAGGTCCCCTGTATCTCAGGGAAGGATAGGTCCCTCGTATCTCAGGGAAGGATAGGTCCCCGGTATCCTGGTAAAGAATAGGTCCCCTGTATCTCAAAGAAGAATAGGTCCCCTGTATCTCAGGGAAGGATAGGTCCCCTGTATCCCAAAGAAGAATAGGTTGCTCAGCCCAGAATGTGTAGATTGTTGCTCAGCCCTAATGGTGTAGATTGTTTCTCATTCCCTGATGGTGTAGATTGCTGCTCATGCCCTGATGGTGTAGATTGTTTCTCATGCCCTGATGGTGTAGATTGCTGCTCATGCCCTGATGGTGTAGATTGTTGCTCATTTCCTGATGGTGTAGATGGCTGCTCATGCCTTGATGGCGTTGATGATTGCTCATGCCTTGATGGTGTAGATGTTTGCTCATGCCTTGATGGTGTAGATGGCTGCTCATGCCCTGATGGTGTAGATGGTTACTCATGCCCTGATTGTGTAGATTGTTGCTCAGCCTTGATGGTGTAGATGGTTGCTCAAGCCCTGATTGTGTAGATTGTTGCTCAGCTCTGATGGTGTAGATGGTTGTTCATGCCCTGATGGTGTAGATGGTTGCTCATGCCCTGATGTTGTAGATTGTTGCTCATGTCTTGATGGTGTAGATTGTTGCTCATGCTTTGATGGTGTAGATGGTTGTTCATGACCTGATGGTGTAGATTGTTGCCCATGCCTTGATTGTGTAGATGGTTGGTCATGCCCTGATGGTGTAGATTGTTGCTCATGCCTTGATGGTGTAGATGGTTGCTCATGCCTTGATGGTGTAGATGGTTGTTCATGCCCTGATGGTGTAGATTGTTGCTCATGTCTTGATGGTGTAGATGGTTGCTCATGCCTTGATGGTGTAGATGGTTGTTCATGCCCTGATGGTGTAGATTGTTGCTCATGCCCTGATGGTGTAGATGGTTGCTCATGCCTTGATGGTGTAGATTGTTGCTCATGCCTTGATGGTGTAGATGATTGCTCATGTCTTGATAGTGTAGATGGTTACTCATGTCTTGATGGTGTAGATTGTTGCTCATGCCTTGATGGTGTAGATTGTTGCTCATGCCTTGATGGTGTAGACTGTTTCTCATGCCCTGATGGTGTAGATGGTTGCCCATGCCTTGATGGTGTAGATTGTTGCTCATGCCCTGATGGTGTAGATTGTTGCTCATGCCTTGATGGTGTAGACTGTTTCTCATGCCCTGATGGTGTAGATTGTTGCTCATGCCTTGATGGTGTAGATTTTTGCTCATGCCCTGATGGTGTAGATTGTTGCTCATGCCTTGATGGTGTAGATTGTTGCTCATGCCCTGATGGTGTAGATTGTTTCTCATGCCTTGATGGTGTAGATTGTTGCTCATGCCCTGATGGTGTAGATGGTTGCTCATGCCTTGATGGTGTAGATTGTTGCTCATGTCTTGATGGTGTAGATGGTTACTCATGTATTGATGGTGTAGATTGTTTCTCATGCCTTGATGGTGTAGACTAAGAGGCTGATGTGATATTCCTGAATATTGTTGTTTGACAAGTTGAACAAGATAAATGTAAGTACATGCTATTTTCTTTATGTAGCATCAAGAATTCTTAAGCTGTTGAAAGTTTAATGGCCTCAAGTGTATTGAACATAACAAAGATGTCTTGATTAGGTATGTTGTCATCCCTTAAAAACGAAGGTGTCAAGTTTTCATGTCTGGATTATATTGTCTCATGACCTAACTACAAAGACATGCTTGTCGTAAGATGCGACTAACAGGATTGTGTGGTCCAGCTCGCTGACATGGTCGATGCAGGTCCTCATATCACAATTGCGTGGATAGATGCTCATGATGTCAATCACTGGATTGTCTGGTCCAGACTCGATTATTTACAGACCGCTGTCATATAGCTGAAATATTGCTGGAGGGCAGCGTTAAACAACAAACAAACAACCAGCCAAGATACATCGTATCTTGAGATGTGTATTGCCTACTAATTGGGCAACAACATCATCTGTGGAAGACTGCCCGTCCTTCTCTGCAATATGCATTACAAAAGTGTGTTAACATCAGCTGGAGTCACTGTCAAAACACTTTCCACTTATGTCTGTATTTCCAGAATCTCAAATGTCACAGCGACCACATCTAAAAGCATGTGCTATAGAACATACAATTCCTTCATGTGTAATACTTCTTAAACCGACTGCAGCATCTGTTTACAATCTAAATATTCCAAATGTTTCTGTTTATCCTAGTATGTTGGCTTAATCACAATTTCCCTTCAAAGTTTGTGTTTCCTGGTTGGGTAGCCTTTTATCCCCATCCGATCAGAAGGATGCTTATTTAATTATGATGAAGAGAGATGTGTGCGAGCTCTACACCTACACAACTGCACTGTTTGCACCCTCTCAACTTGAAGTGAGGCCGTTTTGTTGCTTCAAAATTACACTTTGTATTCTTTGTTTAGAATTAAACAAATGAGTAACATGATAAATTGAAAATGTAAGTAGTTATCCTGATGTTAAGTTTTGATGTTTTACGTTTAAAGTAATTAATCTAATCTATGTAAGACCAAGAATTTCAACAAATAACTTTCCTTATTAAAATGGTCATAATGTTAATGAATATGCATTAACTGCATATCAATTTTATTAGGAGGATTTATTTTACTTCTTGCATGTTCGTGTAGTTAACTTCTGACGTTATTAGGGGCGGTTGGGTAGCCTAGTGGTTAAAGCGTTCGCTCGTCACGCTGAAGACCCGGGTTTGATTCCCGACATGGGTACAATGTGTGAAGCCCATTTCTGGTGTCCCCTGCCGTGATATTGCTGGAATATTGCTAAAAGCGGCATAAAACCATACTCACTCACTCACTCTGACATAATTAATCAGAAAGCATGTTGCAGAAAGTATTGGAACAGTGAAGCTGTGTCAGATAGGGCGTTTTATCACACCTGAAAAAAAAAGGTCATGTGAGCATGTGTGTTGCATTATCTGTCAATCATCCATTTCTGATAAACTGTTTTATTTTCTCCTCTGGAACTTAACAGTGTAATATCTTTTAATTTGAAGTTTACATGATATGCAGCTTTTCCATTCATAAGCGTATGAATAACACAATTTGACATTCTTAAGTTTTTCACGAGACTATATTCTTGAAATGACGTAAACACTGACGGACTACTTCCACATTCCTGGGGAAACCCCTGGGAATTCACTTTTATGAATACTTACAAAAGATCATGTAGACCCTTTAATCTTTAATTCCGAGTTTTAGCATACAGTGAGAAACGTCAGAGAGTTAGACTGCATGATCATTCACAAATATCCTCGCTACAACCCACCCTAGTGAAGAAAAAGTAGAAATGCATACCCACTATCGTAGTATCGACTCGGTCCGTGTCTAGACTGACAGTTACAGTCTACATCAAACCTTAGTGTCTATTTGTCACATCTTTATAATCACCTTTCAATGATCAGCCAACTGATCCATGATGACTGACATGCGACCGCGACAGTTTCATTAAGAATTTCGGAAATTTCTCCCATTTTGACGTCTTGTACTTGATGTAAATGTATTACGAGGCGCTGTCATTGTGACTGACTTGAGGTAGTTCTTATCAGACCTTTCTCACCCAATGTTGATATTACTTGAATACATGTCTTGTAAACAAACAACAACAGATGTTCCTGTAAAGCAAGTTGAGGATTCATATGCTCATGTCTCCCCTCTTTTTGGGGAACTCTTTTATTCCGAGAAACAGCTGGTTGTTGTATGGATGTGAGTGTAATCATGAAGTCATGTGTATAGATCTGGCGCTACATCCCTGGAGGTATAAAATGCCGATATAAGCTCCGACATTCATACAGTTTGGCCCTCACTCTATGAAGGTTCATACTCCAGTGAACTCACACAGTGAAGTCAATTCTTAAATGATCATGATTCTTCTGACTTCTGCCTTTTTTTGCAATAGAATGAGGTTTGCAGAATAACAGTTGTTTTTGGTCTTATGCGATTTGTTATCAACATATATCCTATCAATATGAACTACCTTATTCAACGTAATAAGCGCCCCGCTCTAATAAGCGCCCACGGCAATATATGCTAATATAGTGGCTAGTGAACAATCCCAATTATTAAATTTACGGACTTTCAACTCTGTTTTCTTTTCACCAAAATAATATTCTAATAAGAGCCCCCTATTTCTAATTTTGAGAGCACCCTGGGCGCTTATTAAGTTGAATAGGGTATTTATGCTTTTTGTCACATCAAGACTTTTTGACTTTCAAGACTTCAGCAAACCTCAGAGTTTCAATGGGCAAATCGGTAGCCTAGTGGGTACAACGTTTGCTCCATTCGCCAAAGTCCCGGGTTCGATTCCAGTCATGGGTACAATGTGTGAAGCCCATTTCTGGTGTCCCCCGCCATGATATTGCTGGAATATTGCTAAAAGCGGCATAAAACCATACTCACTTACTAACACTTAGAGTTTGAAACTTTCATCGACTCACGTTGATATATTTGATATCAAGAGTAACTCAGGTGAAATTCTATAGCTTGAATGTTGCTGTCGTTGATTGACATAAAATTGCATTCACTCACTGTTTATCTATTTAGTCATTGTTGTTTTCTTTTCTGCAGGCAAAGAGGAAACAAAGCGTCTTGTCCGGGAGTTCATGGAAGAACATCGAAAGGTGACCTCCATGAAGGACCTCACGGGCTGGCTGTGACTGGAGGCGCTGTTGGTCAGCCTCTTCTTTATGCACATTGTTAATAGCATTTCTATAACTGCATTTACAAATATGTAAGATCTATTACATGTTTTGTTATCTTGCTGTTGTCTGTTTATGAAGTGGAGCTGACTTTGTTATCTGTTGACCTGAAGGTCTTCGTGTTCACTTTGGCATGTCTATGTGCTAATGTCAGCAAATATTCCAAGCTTTATTGCCAGCTGAATCAGTAGTCATTGGGGTTATTGTGTGAGGAATTTAAAGCATAATCATAATGATAATGTCTAAATCCTTTTAGTTTTTGAGGAAACTCTTACACTGCATATCTGGTTTTTTTGCCAAACTAATGCACTGATCCATAGAACTGCACCTCCACTACCAAAAAGTCATCTGTTTAAAGTGGATGATGTGTTTGTTCCTTGGTTTTGCCGTCAAAGACAAAAGAACCATTACATTGATGGATTTAGTTCAAGGCATCATCATTTGATTATCATGGACTTTGACAGTGGAGTCATCCTCTTCAAATGTACATACCCCGGGGTTTGTGTATTATATCAACACTATTGTTCTTGAGCAATAAAAATATAGGTACTATTCTATTTGAAAATCAGGTCACATCATCATGGTTAATGGCTGGCTCCAAATAGGTCCTCACAACTCTATTGCTTGTCAATAGAGGCCCTGAATAGGATTTTGGCTTAGAAGTGGTCTCCAGCAACCTGCACTGGTCGTTGGAGGCAACCAAAGTGCTTGTGAGGTCTGGTTAAATAACTTGGTTGATAGCCTGTTTTTGTACCCCAATGACTGCTCATGATATCAATCTCTAGACTGTGTGGTCCAGACTTGGTAACTTACAGGTCACTGTCATAAAGCTGGAATATTTCTGAATGCAGCAGCAAACAACCAACAAACAAGACCATGTGATGACTATGTGGGCAGGCAGTCAGTCAGGCTTGATGACATGGTTGATTGTGTGTCATTGTACTCAAGGTAGTGGAAGGTGCTCTTAATGTCAGTCACAGGTTTATCTGGTCCGGACTTGATTATTTACATACCACTTTCATGTAGCTGGAATTTTGCTGATTTAACAGTAAAACAACTAAACAAATATATTATTTCAGGGTGGAAAATATTGACCACAAATAAAGGCATTTTGGAAGCTAATTCTTCCACTTCAATTATTTAAAAACTTGAATTTATTAATCCAAGTTATTTTGTGTAAACCACATCACATATATGGTTAAGACTCTTTTCTTTATGATAGATTTGAGTTTAGTCAGAAACAGTGCTGATGGTATATTATCATATTTAAGCTGTTTAATTGTACATGTATAACTGAATTTCTTGGTACAAATAATTTGATTGAGTCATAATGTGTATGTATTTATGTTACTGCTGTTTTTTATTTGCTTAAACACATTGAAGGTAGAGCTATAACAGTTATTGTTATGCATTTTGTTATATGTTTCATGGGACACCTTGCATTTGATGAACAAATACTCAACACATACTATTGGTACTGCGGTACAACAACAGGCTGTGCAGGAGGATGTCCTTGATCTGCAAGCAATTACACATTCATCCCAATGACAGCCCTTAGCATCCGGAGGCACGGACGGCCTATTAGACTAAAGCCCCGCAATTTGACAGCAGTCTGTAAATAATCAGGCTGTCACGGGTGGCCAAGTCGTCGAAGGTGCTGCAATTCGCTGTGCAGAGTTGCACCCCTTAGACATGCCAGAAACCTATCATTGTGGTTTCGAATCCTGGTTGGCCCTGATTGTGTTTCTAGGTCTGTCAGCATCATACCCATTCTCATGGTTTTAAGAAAGTGGTAATCGTCTCAGACCTGCATCACTTTGGGCTTTCCTCCCACATTAAACCGACACAGTGATATAACTGGAATACTGTTCAAAGTGACGGTAAACCCATCTCATTCTCACTCCCTGGTATCTCATCACAGAATCGGTGCTTCTGGGATTGACAAGATGGGTAAATGTGTATGACTTCATTTTGTTCTTTCTTTATAAATATTTAATTGACATGTGCTATTGATAATGAAAACTCATCCAATACTGAAGATGTATTGATATATGCTGTGTTATCCAGGAAGGAGACTGTGTTATCGATTTAATCTTCAAGGCATGCCATCATAAAAATATATTCCAGTTCATGACTCCTGAACCTTACAACTGTTATTATCCCCCGCCCAACGAAGTTGGCGAGGGATATAGAAACGGGCTCCCTCCGTCCGTCTGTCACGTTTTGTTTCCGGAGCATAACTCATAAACTGTTCAATATTTTTTCATCAAACTTGGCAGGTTCTTTCAGGTACATGCTGAACTGGTGCCTTTTGCTATTTAGAAATTTTAGAAATTTTTATTTTTTACGTTTCCATGGCAACAAGATGGACTTAGGTTCTGTGAGGGTAGGGTTCGTTTCCGGAGCATAACTCATAAACCGTTCCATATTTTTTCATCACACTTTGCAGGTCTGTCAGGTACATGCTGAACTGGTGCCTTTTGCTATTTAGAAATTTTAGAAATATTTATTTTTTACGTTTACATGGCAACAAGATGGACTTAGGTTCCAAAAGGTTAGGGTTTGTTTAGATTTAATTATGTCATAAATTCTGCAACAGGGTCGGGGGATATAGCCACGTTAGTGGCAAACTCTTGTTATTCTTATTTTAGGGTCAGTCGGGTAGCCTAGTGGTTAAAGCGTTTGTCACGCCGAAGACCTGGGTCCGATTCCCGACATGGGTACAATGTGTGAAGGCCATTTCTGGTGTCCCCTGCCGTGATATCTCTGGAATATTGCTAAAAGCGGCGTAAAACCATACTCACTCAATTATTCGTATTTTCATGTGATACCAGTACTGAATACAAGATGTCAAGGAATTTTAACCTGATGCATTACTGGGGACATTTTGATTTGGCCGAAAGATTCTGATAAACTAAGGGAAAAGCTTAGGCAGAAGAAAACAATGGGTGATTGCATTTGCCAAATAAGATCTATCATTACAAATGGTGAATGTCTCTGTAGGATACAATTTTGTGTTTTCGAGTAAATCATGTATAGGTTCTTAGGTTATGTCCTGTGTAAAAATTGAAATATTCCGTTTTATAATGATGTTGGCTGAGGACATGTATTGGGAAAGTCTTGTCCGTTTTATTTGTGGCAACAATGGTTTGCCAATATGGTACATTAATGTAGACACATCGTGCACAGCCATCCAAATAACAATCGAGGATGATTTAAAAAGTTAGATATATATTACCTTACCGAGAGTTATTTGTCTAAAAACCTTCCTCACAAAGTTATTTATGGCCACTATTCTACTCAACCATTTTTGTTAAAAATTTGGTACGTATGTAGTTTGTTGTAGGACTCATCATAGTAGATCTGTATTTTTCGATATTTTGAATTTTGACCTTGATTTGACCTTTTCACTTTGACCATGCTCCAAAATTCTCTCAAAATGCATTTCTTTGCTCTGTAAACATCATCTCCTTAGAAACCACTTGACCATTGAAGTGAAAACTTTACAGTTCTATTCCCACTATTGATAACCCAATTTGTTCAATAGATTCTGAATCTGATATTCAGTATGACTGCCATGGTAACCACATCGAAAAAGTTATTTCTGGCAATTCAACGCATTATTTCTGGTTATTTTTGCAATGTTTTACTTTTCAACTTTGTTTTGATCATGCTCTGTACTTATCTCAGAATGTATATTTGACTCTGCTCTTCTCTGAAATTGCAAGACTCTGTGAGTTGACCTTTGGCATGTATCCTTTTTATGACATATTTTGTTCAAATCATTTGAATATTGATGCATAACATATTTGAATATTAATGCTGAGACCGACTTTTGTCAAGTGTCTCAGTTAACTGTTGCAACAAATGGAGTGAACAGCCACTACACCAAGATGAAAGATCAATGGGGAGTTTTGATATAGAAAATACATATACCTGTGTCAGGGATGTTGTCATTTGTAATTTCACATACATATATATAGTTTGAAAAGAGTGTTGGCAGTAGGTAAGCTACGGTATCTGACAAAAGCTTCTGTTATAAGGTGTACCAGACCCTGTTGTTTCATTTTGTTTCATATCAGAGTTTTACATATTGTACAAAGTTATTTTGATACCTTACAGACTTTTTTCAAGCCAAAGAATATGATTTTAGAGTCCAATGTGCAATATGTATTTCCTTGTAGAATTGAGTTGCTATTAGGTGCAGAAACTCTTGCTCTTATTTCTTAGACATAAATGTGTTTTTTAGTTTGCAGTGTTGAAGCGACCATTTGTACATTAGTTAATCCCTATGCACCTCCTGCAGTCAATCCCAACCGCCTCAACCCCAACTACGGCTCACAAAAATTCTGGCAAGGTTTCCTTTGATTGAAGAAGTAACCTTGGTAACCTTTTTGATAGTTTTTTGTATTCAATGGTGACCAGATGTATAATAACACAAGTCAGTATAAAGATGGCTTGGGAACCCAGTGCACTATTACCAGGAATGGCTGGATGGTTCGAATCCCAGTTTTGCCACGAATATGACCCATGGTCTGTCAGCACCATACCTGGATGTCAGCAGAGTGGTACCTGTAAATGTCTGTCTATGACCTGCATCACTTTTGGGCTTTCATCCTGTGGTCCTGATACACTGTTAATTGACTTTAAACTGTATGTACTCAACAGAGTCAAAGGTGAAGTCTGGAACTAAAGTTTCTGATGGTGCTCTATGTATGTTATAAAAGTTCATGTTGAAAACTTGGCATGGGAATCGTGTGAGGTGTGTGCACGAGTATTAATGATTAAATGTGCAATCTGTGAAGCTATTATAGTTGACTTCAATATGTTTTTGTGTTTATGGAGGTTTAAATAACAACTGGTGTGGACACAGTATGGATTTACACAGTATGCACTCCATTGGTTTTCCATTTCTACCTCCATGCAAACATATTTTGTATAAATAAATCCACAAACATAACATCACAGGTTGCTTATTGAATTATTAACCCATAAAATAATGGGTCCCAAGTGTGCCAGTGGATGTTTCATTTATGTTCAGTTTGTGGGAACATAAACACAAAATAAAACGTGTGGTTAGCCATGGAATGTCATGGAAGCACTTTGGAATGTATTTATTCACATTTTACCACAATCTTCAGCATAATGCCTTGTTATTGGAAGTATCTTGTCATTTTGGTCCATTTGGTGCTGATGCTTGACTTAACTCATCAAGACAATCCGAACCATATGTGCTCAGTTTTATGTATTTGACTTTAACTGAAGAAAAGGTACATTTGAGTTGTAAGTGCCATCATTTCTGCGACATTAACCTTCCAACTGTGTGTGTAGGTCTGTTAGACTTGTTTGATTACTATTATCTTAAACATTATCATGTAAGACTGCGAATAAAAGTTAAACACATGAAAAATTAAATGTGTTTCGGGCACATTTTCCTCAAAAGGGAGGAGAGTGATAGGACTTTTTATTTTTTAAACAGAAGTGATGCAAGGGGAATTGGTTTTTTTGGACAAATAATACCAACAAACACAACTGGGCACACATTAAATGCAGCATCCCTTCAATACAGTGTTTTTTTTCAAACATATTATTTAATGGATAACTGTAATATGATCTGGGAAATTTGAATCTTTTTATTGGCAATAAAAATGCCTTGACACCAGTATTAAAGGTGACATGCTGATATATGCCTGAGAGACGTGTCATTTTTCTTTTAGCCTAAGTTACCATGTTATTTATATTTATACTCTTCAAACACAGGTCTCCATTCGTACATGATAAACAACCTGATTTTGCCATGTTGCAATATTGTTGTAGTTAGTGTAAATAAAAAGGTATACCAAAAATATTGGTGGTACTTGAATACCTGAGGGTTTATATGTAAATATATCGTTTCTGATACAACTACACTTCAAAATAAATAATAGATGCACATTTAGTGTTCTGTTGTTTCTTAAAATATGTGAAGCACTCAACGTGCTGTATCTAACATGACTTTGAAGAATGCTTATTCTGATTGGTCAAATAGGATTAAAGCGAGGTATATATTTCCATTCGATACCTCAATTTAGAGTCGCTTTACACACAAAGGCATTGAGTATGAATACATCAATCTAGCCACAGCACACGCATCGATGCCTACAACAATGGCTGCCGATAACCCATTAGTATTGTATACGTTCGAGACTCATTGCTACCAGTAATTCAGCACGTTAATGGTGGACATAATTATCAATCAGGGTTATCCTCTGGGTTCAGGCAATTGGTAAACGTCACAGCAACCATTTGGGCTGTCATGGTCACTGAAAAGTAACGGAAGTGGGTCAAGTTCATCCATATCGATGTTCGGGGTTGAGAGATAATCATCCTGTATATGTACTGGTGAGTTATTCCAAACCAACTGGTGCATAAGTACAACTTCAAAGTGGCTGTAACACTGTGAGAAATATTAGTTAAGCTTTTTGTCACTAGTTCTATGTCTTAGCACCCCTAAAATGGAAGATGTCTTGTTGATTTCCGAGATAGGTCTTGGTTGATTCCAAGCAGTGCAAATATACAGCAGGGTGTGATGAATTTATACCAGAGACCACAAAATATCTCTATGTTATGGTCTCTGTTTATACGTATAGCTCAGGAAGGTTATTTAAACTCCTTTTTGTAAAACTCAAGATTGTGTACGCATTAACTTAAACTACAGTCCGTTTGACTCCAAATGAGAACGATGAATTGCAAAATAACTCGAAATCCAGAAAAGTGTATGACACATCAATGCGGTACTTGACCATGAATACCCTGTACCCAACGAAATCTGAATTTTGTTTATTTTAAGACCCATGACGGATGAAGTTCTTTAAGAAACTCATTTAATTTTGTATAGAAATGTGTACATGACACGTAGGGGGACAAACCGTGGAAGGAACAGCGCAAGCACGGTCTGCACGTGCTACACAGTGACCGTGTTCATTCAATGACAAGATGCGCTACTCAGCAGATGTTAAACAGTTGATGTTGAATGTGTATGATTTCTTTAGAAGTGAAGCAGAAAGAGCAAAGCCTTTTTATGCAGTTAATACATTCTTGAAACGAGCTTCAAAAGCTCTTGGTATGTCCCCTCAGAAACTTAAAAATGTTGTTAGTCGACGAGATACAAATATTTAGGCCAAGGAGGTAGGGAAAATGTCAAAACCACGCAAGGTTGATAAATTAGACAGTTTTCAGAAGGATCAAGTCAGACGTGCAATTGTTAAACTGCACTCAGAAAATAAGTACCTGT